CCTTAAATGAGCAAGGAAAGGTAAATTGCACTAACGGGCTCGGCTGAACGACTACCATTTCAAACAAAATACAACCGACCTTTGTTTTAAAAAACACACCATTTTAATCAGTCAGGTGTAGCCACTGTGCCCAGTCTTTTGACTTAAACGCCCGCTGTAAGCACAAACGGCTAACACTCGTATCTCATGCGCCGGATCCACAACCGGAAATAAGGACCGTACAACGTATAACGTTCTATTTCCGTTATACAAAGTTTCCAATATCAGCACGCCTCCTACAGTTGACCCCTGACATTCACGTTCTTTTTTTTTAATTAATTTTGAGTTGGTTTCGTGAAGTAAAAGTTTCCTATATCAGCACGCCTCCTACAGTTGACCGCTGACATTCACGTTCTTTTTTTTAAATTAATTTTGAGTTGGTTTCGTGAAGTATCTTAGAACTTTTTATTTGATAGAAAGTACGTGCTTTGACGACTGTAACATAAAAGCTCATTGGTGAAAATCTACAAAAATACATAATTTAAATACAAAATAATTTCAAATGGTTTTTAGTTAACAGTTATTTCAGCTATCTATCTGTCTATCTATATCTTTATCTAGATATATAGATATATATATAGTGTATCTAGTTTTACTGATTACTTTTTTTGGTACAGGTCACTTATTCCGAAGACTGCATACGTGTGTGTTGTGTGCTGCGATTGCCGACCCACGTAAATTAACTAGCTGTGACTTTTTACGAGGCTTGAATTGATTCTTTAATTGATTCCATCTGCCTTAAATCATCCTGATATTGATTTGAGGTTTAGCAGTTGGTACAGTGTTTGTGTGTGTTTTTGTATACACAACTACAGGTGCACTCTTGTAGACACTGTGGACAAAATCTGAAACCTTAGAGATCATGACATTTTATGTATTTCTTAGGGAAATCAATGTCAATTTTAATATACAGAAGAAAAATATCTTCATTTGACATCTTTACCTACAGGGACAGTTTGTTGTTGCTCATCACAAGGATTAAATCAACATTTTTCTTATTCAAATCATTAAATCTTAGTGCAATTTTTCTATATATCTATAAAGAATTCTTTACAAAGCAGGTGACAAAAGGAGTGTGAACCAACAGTTCTTACAGGCACTTTTGTAGAGGACTGTATTGGTCTGGACTAAAGGCAGAGAAGGTTTTAGGGAACATGCATTTCATTATCATACCTTTATATGACAAATATTCATCCTGCCTCCACACTAAGCCTGTTAAGCTTCTTAAAGGGATGGCGACTGCTAAGCCCAAAAATAAAATGGGTTGCCCAGGGTCAGTTTACTGATTTCTTACAATTATAGGGAGAAAACAGTTTTGTTTTTTTACCTGAGCATTATACCAATAATGGATGGTACAAAATACTTATACTATAATAAGAAATAAAATATAAAGTATGTTTTACATTTACAGTCCTTTAAGCAAAGCTCCACATTTAAACATTACAAAACAAAACAACATTTGTAAACCACTGTGTTAAATGAAGAACATGCAGGAATAACTTTTTCTTTACCTTTATGCATATGTAACTGTATTTAAATAATAATTAAACATCAACTTTAATATATGGTGCCTAAAAAAAAACACAAAACATTTTCAAAAATGTCAACTGATTATTCTAATCTTTTCCTCTTCTTTACTTCCCTTTCTTTTTACACCAGTGCATAATCAAACTGTCCTCTATCCAGTCCCTCCTTATGGTCAGTCCAGGATGAAGCTGGCATGCTGCTGTAGGGATCTAGGAGGATACGGACACAGCGGACAAGAAGAAAGAGCAAAAGTAACACCAGGAGGCCCACAAAACACAGAGCCGTTCCCTGCTCAGGGTGTCCCGCCACGGGCTGCAGCACAGCCGTGCCCCTGGGGAACCCAAGAGGAGCTGGAGAGGAGAGCTGGTAGTCCACAACCCAGTAGTCAGTGTTGCTCATTGTGGAGAAAAAGATGGAGTTGTTAATGTTTATCCTGTGTTGTATTTATTACTCAGAGGACGACTGGAATGGCACTGATCTGCAGGGACATTTTTGCTGTGGTCATAAAGTCTAGAGGAAGGTCATTCCATGTAATCTGTCAGCTGTCAGCAGCCTGTAAGTAAAAAAAAAGTCATTTTGAACAATATGTAATTATGATGGCTAAGAATGCTTTATCTGTCAAACTTCTGTGGTAGAGAATGTGTTGCAATAGAAATCACACAGGACAAACTATTAACTCATTAATCCCAGTCTGCAGTCTAAGGCAGACATCTCTTTGTTAAGAGATGTCATGGTAAGGTCGACTTCATAGGTCAGTGAGAATCACTATTCACAAAGGTTTATTTCATTAACTTTTAAATTCAATAGCAATGGGCGGGCTTTATTGTAATGACACAGTGAGGTATAAATGTCAGTGACTGAAGATTTTCCACGGATCAATCAATGTGCTCAGAGTTTTTGTGAATGGTCGGCCCCTTGATTTGTTCATTAAACGAATAATGCGAATGTGAATAAACATCACCTAAACAGCACTAAAGCAAATGTATAGTTAAAATGTAGTTATATATGGTAATAAAGATATTCTAAGTTCCTGTGGATGGTGCTCTTCCTCAGTCAGCAGATTCTATTCTAGGAGGCTGGTCCTCCCTCACTCCTTCCTTCCCACCACATCTCTGTTGATTACCCCTTCCCCCTCCCCCCGGTCCACACGATGAGACTGAGGGGCCAACGCAAACTTTAAATGGAGCTAATGAAAGAAACTGCCTGCCGCAGTGTCAATTATCAAATGGCCCGTGGTTACATCAGAGCGGACAGATCTGGTGCTGCACGTGAAGACAGAGAGGCTCTTACTGTCCACAGTGTTTTCCCTCAGCAACTAATGATGACGAAATGGCAAAGCAGGAATTTGTCTCCATAAACAATACAGCTGGATAATTACTCTCTACTTATAGCTTCTTTACGCCTTTTTGCCTCCGGTGGGAAGGGAACTAGAAGTCTACAAAGATAACCTGTGTAAACAGCAAAGCTTTTTAACAGATAATAGCAAAGGCTATTGGTATCAGCCAGATAACCAAAAGTGAGTAACAAAATACCTAAAGTTAAAGCTGTACGTCATCTTCTGTCTCATCAGTATTACATCACATATCTCCTGGCTCAGTTCTCGTCTTTATAGGTATACACTAACATTACAATTTTATCCTCAAAAAACTATGACTTGTAAATGTATGACACACACTTTATTCACATAAATAGACTATGACTTGTAAATGACACACACTTTATTCACATAAATAGAAAAAAAATGGTCTCATAATTTTATTTTTATTTACATTAATTTAAGTTTTTAATTTAAATATTAAATATACATAATTATGTTATGAAACAGCTTCTTCAGTCAAGTCACTTTTTTTGAGCCATCTTGTCCTTGCAGAATTAATATTAGAAGCGTGGATTCAATTGTTTTAAGTATTATATGAGTATTATATGAATATTTTATATCATGATTTAAAAACATTTTCATACATTACCTGGTATGAAAAGAGTGATAGTTTGTCATTAATTAAAGCAGAAACATTTAATATAAATTTGTTAGTAGAAAAGAAAATAGTACACTAGAAAATAAATTACAACTTGTTTTTTTTATTACTTATAATATATATATAAAAAAACTATGTATACAAATATCAAAGAAAACAAAATTATTAAATTTGATAGAAAGTTGTGGTGGTGATGATGATGATAATGAAGAACTTGAATCAAGATTGTTCTCTTCCTGGATTATTCACATCAATAACATAAAATATCTGTCAAGCAACAGCTGAGGAGAAATACAAAATCCAACCTTACCTTAGTGTTCAGTGTCACAGGTGAGAGCAGGCTCAGGGTGTGATCAGAAAAACACACTGACGTTGACAATGGTGAGTCGTCGGTCACAACGTCAGATCAGTTCAGCACTTTGGACAGCTCCTGGTGCTGCTTCTTCATGTGGCAACTCTATCACAGCTGCTTGTTTTCTGCTGCTCCGTCAGGGGCTTTAAACTCTGCTCAGATTGAAAGATCCGCCCCACAGCACCTCCCCCCACACCTGCCCTCCCCTTCCCACACCCCCCATGACTGGCCCTGTGATGGTCTGCACATATAATCTTGTCCTCTGGACGAGTGAAGTGCCATGGGGGACCTAAGTGTCTTCAGCATTATGCAACCGTTGGGCGGGTGGGGGTGTGAAACACTGTGTAGTGACATTTGGCTGATTCTTTTCTTAACCGTCCATATTTCTAATAACTTTGTGTAGTTTGACTTTAAATGTATAAAATGTTCAAAAGAGCTCTGTTATATGATTAATAACACCCCTGTAGGGCAAAAAGGTCCAGCACAGATGCTAAAATGTTTCTGACTCCCTTGGTTTAAATTTGGTCAAATCTTTTACCAATGGACACATCGGAAGGTTGTTGGGTTAAATCTGTTTATCTGAGCTGAAGCTAATAACAAAATAAAGACAAATCACATGAAGGGCGCAGCTGTGGCTGTGGTCCAGACACTGACTGTGGGGAATAATTAAAAAAACAAAATACAGGCACAGACACTGCAGTGCAAACTGTAAGTTTGCCACTAGGTGATGCTAAATCCTATACACTGTTACATATACACATTTATTTGATAACAATAAAATTTAATTTTAATTAATTAAATGTTAATAAAAAATACAGGTAATGACTTATTTGAGTATTGCTAACTTTATAATGTTTACAGTGTAACAGATTGTGGCACACACACACACACACACACACACCTGTCCAAAATGTGAAGCTGCATGGACTCTTCCTGTAGGTTTAATAAGTAGTTGGCATAGAATTGTGACACCTTCCTGATGGTGGTTTCTAATCTAATCACACCTCAGCTCTGCTCCAACAGATGTCCCGCCGTGACCGTAACACATAGAAAAGAAAAAAAAAACATTTTCATCACAGTTCGTACAGGTGTTCACTTAAAGGTCACACTGGGGTTTAGACAGCAGACTGCACACTGTTACAGCAGGGGAGTCTGGGAGATTAATAACTACAAGTACTAGTATCAGTAGTAACTGAGTATCTGTCAGTGTGCTTCAAACCGACTAAAGCCAGGATCAAACAGCAAATGTGTCACACAAAACCTGCTTACGTAATGAACTGATGTTGTTTCCATTCAGATCCTGTCTCAGCTTCAGGCTGACTTCTTTTCACTGCTCTTGTAGTGAAGTGGATGTGATTTAGTGCGACTAGAGTTTTTTTTACTGTGACTGGAGAAAGCAATCAGAGGGCAGTAACTTCTTCTGCACAGGGGCAGTTTGTTAAACACCGCCACCTGTCTTTATAAGCTACAACTTAAACAATATAATTAAGATTAATTAACAATATAGTTAAAATGTTTCAATTAGCTGTCACTATTGTTTTTAGAGTTGATCCCCAGTAAAACAGACACAAAACCCTGTTATGTAATGAGAATGCTCTGAGGTTAATGTTAACAGAACATTTCCAAGGAGGTCTTTTTGTGCCGTCAGACTTTTGTTAATGTTTGTCCAACCAACTCACTGATGAGGAGGGGAAACAGGGTCAAAACTCAGGGAAATAAAAAAAAAAAACAGCCCTCACCGTGGGCTGTGAAGTAAACATTGTAAAAGAGAAATTCACTGGTGAAGATAAATTTAACTTTATGTTGCATTGACTGGACATTTTGGTTATTGTAAGGACATACTCAGTCATTCATCACAACAGACAGCTGTGGAATGAGGTCCCACAAACGTACATGGCGCCTGTGTGTGAATCCACCCACTTGCGTTATTTAGAGCCTGATCTGTCATCCTTATACTGCTAAATCCATAGGTTTATCAACCAGAGTCTATGGCCAGATCCATGGACATCTATCAGAGCGTGTCAGTTCAGAAATGAGAAAATAGGAAGACACACACACTCGGTGCACAAACATACAATACATACAAAGCAGCTGAATCCTAAAAAAGCCTGGTGCAGGAAGTAGAGCTCATTATTCTGCAAAGACATAAATAGAAATTTCATTAATAGATTTGTGGTCAACTTATGAATGAACGACTGTTAAGCGGTGGGCAGTTCAATCTCTATGGACAGACATGGAAAATATTCAGTGCTGAGATGTTATTGTTACTGTGGTTAAATTGGGAGGAAAGTCAGTGAAGGAGGTGAGCGTAAAATGTACTATAAACCAGTGTTTCCACACATGGTTTGAGGCCAACACTGGTCAAAGGTCATTTGGTTTGAACAGAATTTAGGGGCAGTGATCAATCGACTTCATTTATGCCATCCATATATTGAGATAAATAACCATTCACACTTACATATCCATATATACTGTATGTAAATACACACACACATGTATGCATATATTGAAATATTTATACATATGTATATATGATTAAATTATATATATACAAATTGTGGTTACATACAGTATAGTGTATAGTGTTTGTAATAATGTTTGTAATTATTAGGTATACTATCTATCTATCTATCTGGGCTGTCGAATTTTTATGATTAATTGAGATAAAGAGAGGGGGCACGGGGGGCACATTTTACCTGGCCACATGGTCTCTCAAAGAAGTCCAGACAATAGTACAGCCATGTTCTCATTCCTTAATGGTTTATCTACACGCAAAGTCACATACTGTACAGAACAGTTCAGTTTAACATCTGAAATATACATTTTAAAAGCAAATCATTCAAACACAATGAAGCTGCCACGTTGACATTAACCGAATGTGGTCCCATCTATAACCAAAAGAACATTGGCCATATTTACACGCTCATTTAGAGATGGCGTCAGGTTTCTGGAAACCTTCTCTCTGAAACTCTGTTTTAGTGCTGCACATCCCAATCCATACTGCAAACACGACCATGAGCACATGCTGCAACCTGCACTTCCATATGATCCAGGGGTCATAGAGCATCAAGAGCCTGCAGCTACAAAACACACTGACAACACACAGCATTACGTCTTCATCATCTGAATGTGTTTCAATGTAAACACTGGCTAGAAATTGATCAGGGCAACAGAACTCAACACAAATGGAATCTGATATCATCAAATATCACATAGGTTTGAATTTCTTTAATATGAAGTGTGTTAAATACTTTACCCCGTCTTGGTTCACTAATTAAAGAGAGCTAAACCTGATCATACCCCTGACTATAATCCTACAACATCCCTGACTTACCAATAAGAATTGATGCTGGGTTGAAGGCAGAGATGTGATTCAGATTTTTCTTTTCTTCACTTACCATTCTGTAAATTGATAAAAAATATACAATCATTTTTATTTTTGAAAGCAGTCCTGGTTTACAGCATGTTTTCCCCACACTTTGCACAGTACTGTATATCCTTGATTAAGGTGTAAAATACATAAATAAATAAAAACTATAAAATTGATTCAAAGCCCCAGATGGGAACTTATCCTGACACATATTTAACATTTTCTTTGTGCCAATTTCTATTGGATCCCACAGAAGCAGAAGGACAGTCTTTTCAGTGAAGAGAACCAAAAGTCTATTTCTAGAAAACATGATTTATTCTATTCTGAACACTTCTTTTAGTTCAACATTCATCATTGTAATGTACGTACTTGGGACTCAGTAGACTTTCAGTCTCAAGTAAACTAGTCATCATTAATTAAATTAGTCGTGGGCCTCCGTTACCTTGAAACATGGGACATGTTTGGCTTTGTAAACAATGTCCATCATGTGTTCCTCTGCAACAATGAGCTGCTTTAATCCAGTGTTTTTATCTGGACAGCTTCATCTTCTGTTTTGCCCCATTTCCTCTTCACGTCTTTCTTTAAAACGTTGCTTGCATGAATTACTTTGGATTAGCTTAACACAGGATCCACCTTCAACCAGATGAAGAAAGAAAATATAAATACTTATAAATACACTTCACAAATCTGCAGGTGAATGTGCAGTTTCTGTTCATGTACCGTATATATTGGTTTCTGGTCTTAGTTTCAGTGAGAATATTTTTTTTCACCTAAGCGTAAATGGCTATATATACGTATACAGTGTGTAATGAGTCTGTGACATAACCCAGCTCCTCTCTGCCCTCAGATGTCCCCCTCTGTAAATATGTATGAGCCAGTTCGTGCAGTTGGTCCGGACACATCCTCGTATCCCGTACCCTCGTCCACGTGTCCCGTGTGGATCTTTTTTTCACCTGTGGATGCTCCTATTAGAGGATCTGTTCTGTGCTGGAGGCTGAGATGTCCAGGAGTCTCCACGCTGCGTTAGGATTCAGCTCCTCCTGGTCACGACACAGCGCCCAAACATACATCATCCTCATCACCTTCTCCTGTGGGAGAAGAAAGAGGAAATTAATGTAAGTTTCACTGCAGAGGAGCAAAGTCCTTAAATAACATGTTCACATGTTAATTCTTTTTTTTTTAAATTAATCAGGTTACACTGTGGCAGAATGACATGTACTGTATATCCAACGATTCCACTGTCTGTACACTAAACATTGTTCTCATACACACTCAATAGACATGTGCACACACTGAAATACCATTTTCACATTTCCCAGATGTCCAGATGTAAGCCTCACTGTTTGGAAATCTACCCTGGACACATTCTATAATCCACCAACAAGATGCAGAGTATTGACTAAAATCACCAATTTAAAAAAAGTGGACAGTCATTACTATTACAGAATGTTACATTTGCATATTATTACTAACAATAAAGACTATTATTAGATATTATTAGACCATAAAGACCATTGACAAATTCAATTCAAAAATTGATTAGCTGCTAAATCATGTTAACAAAAGTTTAAAATCCACTTTTCTGTTGCAGCAAGTATGGGGTTCACTGACCGGATCTCCCTCAACGACATCTCCTTTGGCACTGCGGATCACCATGACGACCTGAGCCTGGAATGTTATGATCAATACTGGGCCCTGCTCCATCATCTTACCCATGGCTAACTGTAAGATGAAGAAAAAAAACACAATCATACAAGTCCACTCCACACTGGCAGTAGTGTTTTCTTAAGCTGTTATTTGGGAAAGAACTCATTTGAGAAAAGTGAGCTAAAGTCGATAGACACTAGATAAGAAATAGGCCACATGCAGTATATGTATTTATATGAAGAAAATAAAAATGTGAAAGGGAATACAAGGATAACAGCACTTACATCTATGTTGTCAATGTCGAGAATCTTGGACTGGAAGAGCAGTCCCAGGGCTTTGGCCTGTTGGATGGGATGAGCCAACTGGCTGTATGTCTGTGGACAAAAAAAAGACCAGTTTAGTTATAAGTTAAAATGCAATAAAAAGCTTTAATCTGATTAATCGTTAAAAATTAATTATCATAATTCAAAAGAAAAATTTGACAGCCCTAATGACTTTAAATAAAATATCCGTCACATAAAATTAAATATATATATATATTTTCAACCTACTCATTCCATACTATAAACTATGTATGCACACAACAGCAGGGTCAGAAATTAAATACTTACAGCTTCATAGCACCAGTCTTTTAAAACTTCCAGTTCTCCACGAATCATGGCCTGAAATAAATAAAATATTTTATTTATTATATATTTTGTTGAAGTAAAAATTTCAAGTTATATTTTTTAATTTCAGGTTTGGTGGTTGGAGAAGCACATTTACCTCCAGTATGTTGGGAATGATGTCTTTCTCACACTGTTTCAGAAATGAGTCTTTGTCAAAATTTGGGTCTGCCTTCAGGATCTCTGTCAGCACTTCAGACATTTCTGTTTTAGAAAAGAGACCCCCTAAAAGAAACAACAGTGAAATCAGCCTTCTTGACTCTTCTTAAATCAAAACATAAGCAAATAATTATTTATTACCTAAGAAACCAGTGACCCTGTCAGTTACAGCTCTAGATGCTCTGATGACGACGTTGTCACTTTCGTCATATTTCATCTTCATCTCGAAAAATCCTAACAGAAACAAAAAAAATAAAGTTATCAAATGTTAAAATAAAACTTTAAGTATTTGGGTTTTAAACCACAGGCCAATCACTTCAGCATTTAAAGTTATTTAAATATTCGTGTTTATATCTGTTTCTTATACAAACTAAGATGATTCACACGAAATAAAATACTATTCAACAGACTGAAGATGTTTGCTATCTGTAGTGTGGACGCTGCAAGGAATATGGCTCCATCTGCTGTCTGAAAATGATAAGTACGTGTGGGAAAAAAATATAATTAAAAAAGAATTACAGAGAAAAATAAGGAGATTTTACTTACTGTTAAAAACTAGGTTATTGTCCTTAAAGTCCTTCCACTGCTGGTACCACTTTGAATCCTTGTGGAGAACCACACCCATAGCCTCTCTGTGTCACACAAATATGGAGAAAGGTTATATGATACATTTATGGCAGTACGATGTTTCGTATAGAATACAAAGTGCCTTCTTACTCATTGGCCTCAAATACTCTGGAGTCACTGATTCCTCCTTTTGAGGAGAAATCACTTCTTTTTCTGAGCTGAGAAGGAGCTCTGTAGGGCCCAGCATCGCCAACGTCTATCTCCTTCTTCATGGTCTCCACACCCTGCACAGAAGATTCACATAAATCTTACATGTTTAGAGAATTAGAGCCTGACCTAGAGCTTGTTCCCTGCAGCATTTATTCTGACCTGTGAGATGGCTTTGAAGGCAGATATCCTGCCCAGCTTCTCTCCTCCTTTGGAGACAGTCTCAGCAGAATGTATGGCCGTCCTTGCTGCTCCCTCCACACCTTCTTTAATCTTCTTTCCGATGTCAGTACGTCCGACTTCCTCCAGACCCTTATGGTAATGAGGAAAAAAAGAAAATTACATTATAGTTAGGACAGGAACTTCTTTTGAAACTGAACTAGAAGAACTATAAAGGCAGTATTTTTGTTTTGTAGTAAGAATTTTAGATTTTCACGTAGTAATCACACAGTCAAACAGTAGTTATTGATAACTTACATCTTTGACTGTTTCTGACAAAGAGTCCAAGGTCTTTTTGAATACTTCTGAAGTCTTCACTGTCTCGGCTTCAATAGTTTTCTAAAGAAAAAGCAAAAGCAAAATAATTACTGCCTGATCCAGAAAACTGTAGAAGCAATGTTTTAAAAAAGTTGAATACAAATGTCGTTACATATTTCTTGCGGGCCTGTTGGAGGGCATCCGACTCTTCAAGCTTCTTGGCTTCTTCTCTGAACTTCTTTATGTTCTCCTTCATCTCCTGGTTCTTGTTGAACTCCTGACGAAGATTGTCAACAAACTCACCTAGGAAACCTTTACGGCCCGACATAGATCGCACCTAATGACACAAACGTGCGGTACGACAGTGGTTATATAAAACTGTTTTGATTGTGGTAGTTTGAAGGTGAATGTAAAAAATGTGTACCTGCAGAGCTGCAGATGGACTCCTATGTAACCTGAAAATATCTTCTCTCCACAATGAGGAGACCACAGAGCGGGAGGAAAGAACCAGAGCACGTCTGCCAACCAGCTGCAATTAAATTGTGAGTCACTCTATTAAAACTTAGGTTGCAAACAATGCAGTGGTTGAAAAATCAGAGAAAGATTGCACAATTAACAGTTTTTCCTTTTAATTTATAAAAAAACTTCAATAGAAATTTAAGAAAATGTTCTCTAAATGCCCTTATTTTATTAGAAACCTGCAAGCAAAGATACAATTTTGAAAAATAATTTTACAAACATTTTTGTCAAAATTTATTAGAATTTGACCAAAAATGACACAAAAGTTCAAATTTTGACAACAACTTTAATATAAATAAATTTAAGAAAATGTTCTCTAAATGCCCTAATTTGATGAGGAACATGCAGGAAAAAATGCGATTTTTAAAAATAATTTTACAAAAAATGTCTTCAAAATGTATTAGAATTAGACCAAAAATGACACGAAAAGTAAGGTAAAGAAGAAGAAAAATGTTCAACTACAGTTCCTAGTAAAATCATAACACTTTTTATAAGAACATAGAGCTACAGCTGATTTGTATGAACAACTCTATACAAAGAGAGACTGCTCAACTTTAATACACACTTCAAAAACCTCAACCCTCAGAGTTTGGACCATTATTAATCCGTTATATCACATGTGTAAATGCTAGTCTTGGGTTAAAAAAGTCTGTGATTAAAATTACCTAGGCTCAGTATAAAGTGTCGTCACAAAAAACAAGGCTCACACTGAGAACAACGAAAAAATAGTTGCTTGTTTGGTTCCACTGTTATCAGTACATCAGGACGCCAGTTTTTTCCGACTCTTCCTGACCTTCGTTAGAAAACAGTTATAACATGTCTGGAAGCCCAACATTGAGGATGAACGCCCCGCCCTCAAATGATGCTTAGGTAACGGTTACAACGACACATTCCTGACCGGTTTATTTAACCTGAACCATTAATGTGTTACAGTAAGGGTTCAAAAACCTGTCACGCCTCTTAAAGTGTTTTATAACTGAATATTCGGCCGACACTGAGCTCCAAGAATAGAAAAGGAACATTTCAACGAGTATTTAGGCTCACGCCAAAGTTAGTGAAGGTGTGTTTAGGCCTGTTAACAAGGACACACTATTGACCATGAGTCTATAGAAAAACGTTGATACCGTCTGATGAAAACGGGCCTCTACTAACAGCCGTTTAGTTCTCCATTTATTCCCGTCCCATAATGAACGAACAAATGGACGTAAAACTCTGAACACAACAACGACATGTCCATACGCCTCTGCTTATTTTTCCTGTCACAGAAAGTGGAGCTGTAGGACATGAATGAAAACCTTACCCCATAGCACCGACACACGGAGGCTGCCATCTTGTTCCTTACGAACGCACTACAGAATTGCACGTGCTTCAAGGCTGAACCAACCGTTCAACCAATAGGTGCAGAGCTAGGCTGAGAGGGCGGAAGTAGATGTCACCACGAAATAATAAAAAAAAACCCAGGGTAACCTCCTGGTTAGTAGTGTCCCCCCTTTTAACGTCTACCCATACACAAACGTTAAATACAGCTAAGTTTTTACATAAAGGGTTTTTTTCCCGCGGGTGATGCTCGTCAGTACGGCCTTAAATATTCGCTGGGTTACTATGATCCCCTGTCTTTAAAATTACAGACTAATTATCCTATTGTATAAGACTTGGTCTCTTGGTGCTCTTGGTCTGAAAACATGGTTTCTGCCTGTGCAGTGTGCTGGTGACTGTCTTAAGATATAATTCTTTACAGACCATGTCGTATACATACGTTTTATATGTCTCATTAAATTGACACATTAAAAAAAAAACAGGTGACCATCTTACCTTTGCATATTTCAAGTATTGTTTACAGTTTGTTTACATCTACAGAAAATGTATGTAAATGCTAAAACGTTGAAGTCCCGCGCTGAGCCGTGAAAAAGAAAAAAGAAGACCTTACAAACAGTTACTCTGTTTTGTGTTATGACTCCCTCCCTTATTTTACTTTTTTTTTTACTTTTATGACAAAATGGAAAGCAAAGATCTGCTGGCATGCTAGGCCTGAACGCCCCCTTGTGGCAGAAATGCGCGGTGCAGGGACTCCTCCCCTCCGTCTGCAGAGTTGAGAGCTCTCCCTGACTGCGGCCAGCTCGCCTTGACAGCCGACACTGGCGCAGAGTCTCCGCTCACGAACATTTGTCATCTTTTTTTCTTCTCCACCACCATCGACCTAATATTTACTTTTTTTCCCATCCTCTTCTGAAGACCAACGGTGGAGCGGCCTCGTCTAGAATGGGGAACCGAGACGATGAATACGATTTCTTGTTCAAAGGTAAAAAAAATTTTTGAAAAAGAAAGAAAAGAAACAAACATAACGTTGATGATGGTGATGACTTCATTCCCCTTTTACACAAACACATACCGACCATGCCTTGCTCCATAAAATCTTCTACTGCGTCTCTGTCGCTCAGACTTGTTTCTTCTAACGGGGAGGACTGATGTTTTTCTCAGGAGCTGGCCTGCTTGTGTTGTTACAATATAATGCTGTCATTGTAACAATACTACGCCTGCAGCTGTTTTTATTGGTACAGGATGCAGCCTCTATATTCTAAGATTTTTGTTCTTATCCTTAAAACAACTTGTGTCTGTTTATGAAGTATTGTTTTCAGTTAGAATAACCAGCACCGTCTCCTATGACATACATCTTTGCTGTTGTCCTCTCATTCCTCTGATCTAAGGCCCGTGTTTGCCTCCACCTCTGCTGATCAATCACTTTCATTCTCAGACTGTGAGGGATCTCATCTTACTGATCCTAAAAACTGAGGTCATTTATATACAACCTCTAACCCACTTTTAAAAGATAGCACAGAGCAGTTTAATAACTTGCTTCTTAAACATGAAAATACTGCAGGGTCAGTACCTCGCCCCTTTGACATCGAAACAGCAAGATATTTTGATCACCCTGTGTCCTTTTGTTCCACATTACACCGTATCATCTCACCACCCCACAAGGGGGTGAAGTTTGCTAACTTCTTTGGCTTGTTTTGATCAATATCCATGAGCATATACTGCATAGATAGAATATTCTTAAATTAAATCACTGGGATACATTTTACATAAAACCTTTAGTAAAAACTAATGTGAGAAAATAAAAATTCATGGCTTATCTACTGCAAATTTCTCTCATTTTATTCATAATCCCTACAGATTGTCTTATTGTTTTTCAAATGTTTGTTTTTATTTAGAGGAAACAGCTAACGTTGGAAGGACAGAGACCACTAACATTAACCTGTACAGCCTGGGCATTTACCAAATTGATATCAGAGAGACATCTAGATATTGAACTCATTGAACTAATTTCAAGTGATCTGACCAATCATGGAGCTATACTGTAAAACTTCATCCAGACTTGTGAACAGGTTGTATTTAGGCCCTAAAACAGTTACTGATACTTGTATTTATGTGGTAAACCACTGTGCTGAAGACAGACATACTCTTTGTTAACGTCTTTATTGAGATCTGCTGTACATTGAGGGAATTAAACAGGGACGCAACATTATAATTAGCAGTGACAGCCAGTACAATACATTGCTGTGCTGTTGGGAGCTGTCACTTGTTGGTGAACGCCAACTGATGGTGATGGATGTCAAAATCAAATCAAATGAAGCCTTTGGTCTTTCTGTGGCTGAGAGTGAAGCCGCACCAGAGTCAGGTCTGTGTTTATCAGTTGGATCCAGAAAGCTTCCTTTGATCCTGATATCGGCTCCTGTGGCACATTAACATCCTGGGCCTGTAGGAGCCAGAAGGCCATTTAGATGTAACAAAGTATCCTCTGTGGGATGAATGGGGCATCTGCTGGAGGCTCTCTCTCCCTTTCTTTCCCTCTCCCTCTCCCTCTCTCGCCCTGGTCTGTGTACCCTGCTGAAACAGGAAGGACAAGGCAGCTTGAAACTGTCGATTCAGGTTTTGATGAAGCCTGTTATCAGCTTCCTGCAGCCTCGGACCAGCACCGTTGGTCGTCAGGGACAAAGTTTGGCGCTGTTTCCTTTTGTCGAGGCAGGGAGGGGGGAAACAATGAAAACAAGAAAGAGAAGACCTCCACCTCTTTACTGCTCAAGCCACATCAGCCTTGTCAGCCAAACACAAGCTGCACAGTCCTGATCCAAGACTGTGATCAATCTCTACTCTCCAGTTTATCACATCCACAGATCATGAATGAAGAAGCAGAACTGCTAATAATCAACGCACATTATCAGTTTATGCTATCAGTTTGTACCAACTTGACAGTTTCCCCAGATGTTATCTTAAAATTTAAATTATATGACTTAGTGACAACTAGTGGTTAGGTAACTGTCATGGTGGTAGCGGTACAAACATGAAGAAATAATATGGTGTAGTTGAAAACAATGCAAAAATATGATCCAATATGGCCGCCTCTGTACAGAGGAACTCTGGAGTAATGAAACATTAGCTGGAATTTGTAGAATTAAATTTAACTGAATATTCACATACATATTTTTTAAAACTTTTTTTAAATTACAAAGGTTATTTAAAATCAGCTTTAACTGACACTGAAATAAAAAAAGTTTCCTTGTTTACATAGACATTTTAGTCTCAGTTTTAGTAGCCCATGAGTGTCATAACATGCCCAGTAGTTCATAAAGTGCAGTAAACACACCCACACAGTATATTATCTTTTTTTTATATTTAAGGGGTTCAGACCAGGTTAGGAATTAATCGTGTAAAATGTTCTAGGGGCATTTTGGATTATTTCCAGGGTATTTTATCACATGTTGTGAAATAACTTGTTTCTGATATCAGATCACATTCCAGTATACCTTATCATATTGAAAAATGACTTTTGAAAGAGATTAAGATTCAGAAAATCTACACAGTGCTACACTGAAACAGTTTAAAGGTAAAACAATGGATTGTTTTCATCACTTGATTCTGGAATTACAAAAAACGTTAAAAAAAAACAAACAAAACACATTGGGCCTCTACTGTTAAGGAGTGCAAATAGGCCAGAGTGCTGATCTTCAATCTGAACCTTTTTTTGCCTGGGCAAAGGCCATTACAAACTAAAAACTACTCCTCTACCCACTCTTGGGTCATGACCCAGCAGATGACAATCACTGATTTTGAGCGTTCTAATGAAATCCTTAATTTGTCTCTGTGTGTATTACACATCCTTCACTTTTCTGCACTCTTGTCTGCTCTTTCCCCTCTGTCTCCTCACAGTCGTGTTAATCGGGGACTCGGGGGTCGGAAAGAGCAACCTGCTCTCTCGATTCACACGGAATGAATTCAACCTGGAGAGCAAGAGCACCATTGGGGTGGAATTTGCAACACGGAGCATTCAGGTGGACGGCAAGACGATAAAAGCTCAGATCTGGGATACGGCCGGACAGGAGCGCTACAGAGCCATAACCTCTGCGTGAGTGCTGTTTTTGTGTGCAGCAGACAGTTACACCCATCACCTAACACCCCTCTGTGTGGGGAAATGCTTCAGCAGAGCAGTCACAATGGAAACTCTATCCCTCGGTCTAGGTCATTTAAGAATATGGCCAATTTGGGCTGACTTAGTTTTCAACTGCAAAAGGTAGAGATGAACAAGGCGATAAATCATTCAGAGGCAACACAAGGTCAAAGAGCTCCATTTGAACTGTGATCACATTTGCTTTCCACGAAATGACTAGTGACTGTTAAATGTTATATTTAACATACTGCAAATGCAGAACAAAGTTGTCACTTCCTACGGCTGCAACATCCTCATATTATTAGTTAACCTAATAGCATGACCTGGAGCGGCAAAATGTCAAGTGTCAAATAACACCGTAAACAGCAACAATAGCAACAGTTAGCCGCTGGCTGACCACCGTCAAAGCCTTGACCAAGAAGTTGTGATGTGTGTTTGAATCTCCACTGTTGTTTCTGTACAGATACTACAGAGGAGCTGTGGGTGCTCTCCTGGTCTACGACATAGCCAAACACCTGACGTATGAGAATGTGGAGCGTTGGCTAAAGGAGTTGAGAGACCATGCTGACAACAACATCGTCATCATGCTGGTTGGCAACAAGAGTGACCTGCGCCACCTCAGGGCTGTGCCTACAGATGAGGCCCGGGCCTTTGCAGGTAAAGGAGACCCTAAAGAAACAGACATTGATGTGAAGAATAGTATACGCACATTCATCCAGTTCTGCACATTGATGTTTGCGGTCCTTTTTCTCTCTTCCGTAGAAAAGAACAATCTGTCTTTCATAGAAACGTCAGCCTTGGACTCGACAAACGTTGAGGAAGCCTTTAAGAATATCCTAACAGGTATGGCTGTACATGGAGGTGGGGCAGATGCTGCTGTCGGGGCAGGACATTTATTAGTTTAACCTTCAGCTTTGCCGCAGTCATGGATAATGTTATTGGGCACACTAGGTTTCTTTTATGTACCATAAACATTTTCAGCAGTTTTTAGGACTTGAAAATTACACGAATGACATAGTTGATGTAAAGTTCTTCATCAATAAAATATACAAAGTTCATTAACTGAGTTTTGCAACAAACCAGTCTTTAACTATTTAAAGTTTCAAAAAGTGACTAAGAAATAATATCTTTTTTTTTTTTTTACCACCAAGTGGTGGCTTCAGACGTTTCAGGTTTTTTATGAGCACATGACAAAACATCATCTCTGACCCTGACTGCTGACCCTTCATTAAGCCCATTACTTTATTAAATTAGGAAAATGCCAGTCCACCTGGAGAGCATCTCAGGGACAAACTACTCACTTCCTTCAATTTGTCTTCCTTTAAACATAGAAATCTACAGGATCGTCTCACAGAAACAGATTGCTGAAAGGTCCGCCCACGACGAGTCTCCGGGAAACAATGTGGTGGACATCAGCGTGCCCCCCACCACGGACGGACAGAGGGGGAGCAAACTGCAGTGCTGTCAGAACCTGTAACCCATAGCAACCACCCCTCCTTGTCCTCCCCTGGGTCGATTATTAATTGAAATCCACAGTGTTGGAATGCAGCCATTGCGCATGGGTCCCATTATCATGTGAATCAGCACTTTTTGTTGAATCAATTCAATTATGTTACGCCATTAATTATGAATCCCCAAATCCGTGATTGATTTCAGATTTGAATCTGACCCAGGTGCAGTCTGCTCATTCTAGTGCACAGACAGGACTGATGGTACACTGGTGGTCTCTACAGAGTAACAGTGATGTCAGAAGAGTCTTACCTGAGGACTTGTTATCCAGGGCACCTCCGTGGTAGATAATTATTACCACATATGCTGGAGGCCTGGGGTCTGACCATCAGTCCTGTTCTGGCTCCTCATTTAGTCATCATCTCAATAAGTGGTTGTGATGCTACTGAAGCCTTTTTTTCTTTTTATGTAAATTGTTTTTTTTTTTTTTATTATTATTATTATTTTGATAGCTTGACCGCTCGCATACATTATATTAATGCCATGGAATTAAATTTTACAATATTATGGTTTGGCTATGTTTTTTTATTTTAGATCTAAATACAGTGCAATATTATTATAACGTCACACGTGTTATTTCTCCTAAAATAATCTATTTCAATTTGTACTATAGTATTGTAATACTTGTAACAGATCACAGCATAACAGTATCCTGGATCTATTGGATTGGCAGTATTTTTAATTATTCAAAAGTAAATATTATTTTCAATAAGTCACTAATTGGACAGGGCCCCCAGGGGAAAGATGAGGACATCTTACATTTACTTGGCGATGAAGACCACTACATTTTACCAGTCAAATGTAAATGTTACTGTGCAGTAATATGGACAGCAGTTTAATGAGTGACAGAACACACAGGTTGAGTCCAGGAGTCCCTCTTTGTTTATTGCACAATAACCCAACTTCTCAGGGGGATGCAGCAGGAAGACTACAATAACACAAAATACTTGTATAGCATATGCCGCATACATTGATTTGACATCTCAGAAACACGTTCATCGTTCGCGTCTTTGCTGAGCTTTCAGTCTGATCTATACATTTCTGTTTTCTACAGGACAAAAGGCTGAACCCTCACTTTAGGTAACACTGTTTATTGTCTATTTTAAAATTGCACCTGTGGTGAAGGACGTGGTGGGATTGTTACTACTGCTCTCTGCTCAGGCAGGTTGACTTTGTATGAATGGTGCATTTACACGTGGAGTGGGGCTGTCTGAGTATGCACTAGTGTGACTCTAATGACGTTAGGATCCAATTCCAATTGGAATGTAAACATGTCTCAAAGCTGTCATTAACACTTCTTTAAATGTTACTACGCTGTGGTTTAGATTTAGTAAAGTATTTTCCCATTGGTTAACACAGTCACTGGACCTGTGATATTTAACAAAACAAAACAAAAACAATCAGTCGAGTGATTTTAACTAGGCAGCAATAATAAAGCTTTACCTGGAAACTTTAAAAGGGTTCAGGTTATACATAAGAACATTGGTAAGAGTGCATGTCACCCCCTACTGGACCTGAAAGGATATTCACAGATAGTCTTGATCATGATTTCAGATTAATATTAGAATTCTCCGCAGGGCTATCATCTACCCATTGTTCAAAAACAGCTAAATACGTAGTGAAGGAGCGTAGGGGAATTATAGGTAGTGTGAATATGTTTCTTATTATACTCTAGTAGCATGCTGATTCTGTTATATCCTGCTACATTTTCTCACGTCTGATGCTTTTCAAGGACATACAGTCAGGCTGGTCAGTCCATCATCCATCTGTCCAATTCCCAGCGCCGTCTGTTTGATGACAACTCTGCCTTTTAACCCTAAACTCTGACTCAAAAATGAGAGTTCGTTCCCAGGTAACCACTTTTGTGGCCAGTCCAATACCTTAGTAGTTTACATCAAGTGCTTCCACAAACAAAGTCAAGAGGAGAGCAGCGCCCCCTCTTCTCAGAATGTTCCGTTGAAGTGCAAAAGTTTATTAATGTGATTTTATTTTCTTGTTTTTAGAGAGCGCTTTGCAGGGTGTTATTTTTGAAATATTCCTCCTGCTGCTGCTCTGCACTCATACGATGGTCTCGTCAGTCATTTTCTTGGTCAACTTGGTCGGCACCGAGCGCTGCGTGGTGTGCGCCCCCTTCATGTCGGGCATGAGCAGACGCACTTTCTGATTGGTCCTTCTCCACTCCGAGTACAACTGACAGTGGTACCGAAACGACACCTTAGAGAGAGAAAGAGAGGCTTTAATGAAAAGTGACACTTTTTTCCTTATCTTTTTTCCAATATTCAGAGATCCCCCTAGTGCCCCATGGCGGTCCCCACTTTGAAAACCACTGACCTAAAGGATAGTTATTTTTTAAAACCCCAAAATGTTTTTGCAGAGACATGTGGAAGTGAGGCAGTGACTGAGCACTTTACAAATCAATTTAGCTCCGTGGATACGCACTAAATCCCTAAATCAATTTTTTGGATTTAATAGGAGTAATTTGATAACACATTAGTTACCAGAGTCCAGAGGATATAGATGGTGAAGAGGGCAATGGTGAGGGCGATGAGTCCAACGGCCTCCAGTCTGCTCTTCAGCTGCAGGTGGTCCTGGGCTCCCCTCAGGCACAACCAGCCGGAGATGGCTGCCAGGGGAGTGATGAGAAGGAAACAGGCCATGTCGCACAGCAGGGTACGCTTCTCACTGCGAGGGCCTGGGTCCTTCAGCCACTACGGATGAGCAGAGTAAATGTTTGTTGAGGCCTTGTATGTTAAATATGAGAAATGTATTGATCTGGAGTTAGACATGATGGTGACACGTAGGCTGCATTTCTGAAACACACGTGACAACAAGCTGGCAAAAAGAACCTAGTATTTCAACCTAGTTTCTTTTAGCCTCCAGTTATACTTCACCCTGGAGATGCAATTTGTTTCAAAGACTGGTGGAGCCTGGCCTAGAACTTTGCTTCTGTTGGCTGGTAATATGTAAGTGTGTTTTATCTGCTTATGTCCTTTAAATAAGAAGCACCGATTCTGAGGCGACAGAGAACTTTGTAGTTCTGATGATGTGATGTTGTAGACTGGAGGTTGAACTAATGAATTGTACCATGTTCATTCCGGGTCCATCTTGTTTTTCGGATCAATGAAGCAGTGTAAAAAACAGATATTTGTGGCAATAGCTGCAAGTCTCATCACTGGCTATAATTCCACAGAGACAGACTAAAGACAATAGAGGTCAGATTATCAGGTATCCTAACTGCCTCACCTGTGTGAGTGGCTGTGGTCGCCTCTCAATAGTGAACTCTGTGTGACAGAGCTCACAGTAGCTGGTGTTGGAGGAGGACAGCCATTTCTCCAGGCAGCTCTTGTGCACTTTACCCAGGGTTCCAGTGCAGTCGCAGGGTGAGAGCAGCGTCTCTCCTCCAGCTCCCTCATGACAGATCCGACACATGCCCACATCACTGTGACGAAAACAAAACAACAACAACAACAGCAACGTTACAGTTAGGGAACGGTTGGTGATGAAAGTACAGGATATGCTGTACTTTGGCTCTCCCGCCTGTGGAAACGTTCCTGCCTCTCTTACCTCTGTAAGCTGACTGCTTTGACAACAGTAGAGAGTGGGCGGCCATCTTTCGCCGTAACCTTAGCAATATACTGAGCCTGGGCGGTAGAATCAGACTCCTCCGAATCCTTGGAGGCGTCCGATTCAGTGTTTCCAGAGTAATCGCAGAGGGAGCCCGGTAGGTGACAGCACCCTGACGTAGACATGGCTCAGCTAAGGGTGAAGGTGGTGAGGACAAAGTGGCAACACTAAAAAACAAAAAACAAAAAACGAGCTTTAATCCAATTCCTGAGGTGTCACAGCTCCTCCTGTGGCCACTTACAGAGATAATACCTGATCAAAGAAAAAAAGAAAATACAGAGTGTAAGTGACATGGTTTTTAATAAGTAAAACGTAACGTCAACACCATCACATCTGACTGTAAACCTTGGAGTGTGCACCAACTTTTGAAGAGAATGAGAGATTGTAATTAAACTACCACCTTGTTAAATTACGAAGACAAATATAGGTGTAAAATAGTTCGTGCTGACTGCACCGTATTTCTGGGTGGTGGGCTGGGTTAAGGTGGGCTGGTCAGGCAAAATTAATGAGCGTACTGATTGATGGCAGCGTAAACACAAACAAACACATCCTTTAAGACGATTGCTGACGCCGTCAAAACCCCATAGGAATGAGGCAAAATTAACCCAAATGCGTTTTTCATTTCAAACCGTTATGACTGCATTTGACCACGTCTTACATCGAACACACCGAACATAATTTTGACAGACGTTGTATTGAATCTCAAGGTACATTTTTTAAAAATTATTAGTTAACAACTAAGCAGTGCATGTGTCAGCGCTGTAAATCTGGCCGACATTAACTGTAGCGTTGATTGATGTCGTTAATGTAACATCGCAGACAAAGACTGCGCGTATCAAAACGGCAAAAAACCGCGTCCAAGCAGCTGAAAAGCTACCAACCTATAAGTTGATATTTGACATGGGCCTTATGAAAAGCCTGTACACGGTGTATGAAAACAGAGGTTATGGTAAATTTACTCACCTAACGGCCTCCCCCTTTTCTTGCTCGGCCTTGGCCTTGGCCCTGTGTAAGACACACTGGCTAACAGTGCTAACCAGACAGCCCTTTTTCCTAAACTGTGACACTGACATCCAACCAAAAACGGCCGATACGAGGGGATACAGAGAACGCACACATGCGCCGTATCCGCTCCATGGCCGACAGTACACTTCCCTCGGGGCAGGTTTTGTTTAGGAAGATGCTGCTCTGTCAGGATTATTAGACAGAGCTAACGAAGCTAAGAGGATAGCAACGGACCAGCCTTCACAGCATCCGTCAGCTGTGCTTTGGTCATGTGACACGTGCTGCCTTCAAGGTCTACAGTTAGACTTGTTAAACAGACAAAACCCGTTCGGGTCGTAAAAGATTTCGAATTATTAGAATGTATCTTCAAGTTACAAAGACGTCAGTCTTAATGCTGTAAAATATGACGTTAAATTGGTAACATGGTAAAGGCAACATAAAGGTCCAGAAATAAAAATACAAAAAGTATATATTAAAAACACAAAAATAATAATAATTAAAAAAAACAACCGTTCAAAATAACACAATTAAACTCGTCTGTATAAGAAAATGTAATTGTAGACAAGCTAAGAAATACACGTTTTGTTAAACAAACAGAAGGCTAAATTTAGCACATTTAGCACCAAAACATATCTCGTAGTTTGGGAAATACTACTGCCTGCTGAAGTGAAAGATTTTGTACTATTTCCAGCAATGAAAAAAGCACTTTTTGACTTTAAATATATTACACGAGGATCCTCGAAAGCAGCACACTGTATTGTACATATTGCGCATGTTTGTCTGTTTTGATACATTTCTGCTTTCCAATTTCAGAACCTACCCGTGGCCTAAAACAAGAGTAACGTAATAACACCACTAGAGGGCAATGTTTAGCTAACCCACAGGTGAGACCCTTTGACAGGTGAGAACGACAAACATTTTTTCTTATTACTATTAGATGGAAATAATAATTTGAATCATAAAGCATTGTTTCATGGTACAAGGCCAGATGTTTGAAGTATTGCCTTTTTAACTTTAGATCCAAAAACCAGCGTTTGAGTGCATTCCGACCTCAATCCCTTTGACCCAGATATTGACCCAGCTAAACAATGAACTGAAATAGAAAGCGATACTTTGGTTAATATTTAGCCACCCTGGCTTACCTTCTCCCCTGACCTCCTCTCCTCCTATATATATATATATATATATTAACATTGACATTATGTACCTCACGTTGAAGCATATTGTTCATGTAACTTATGTCACCTATTATCATTCATGCATTAACATAGACATAATAAATGATTCATACACACACACGCATGCACACACACCCACACACCCACTCACGTGCACGTGCGTGCTATGTTAACGTGTGTCTCTTTGGTCAAAGTCCAACAGGAATCATGAGATACCCACTTTCCACATGTGTGTTTGAAATCATGAGACATGTGTTAGTGGACTTTAACATAGATACACACTCACTTGCACACCAGTTTGTTAGAGTTTTGTTAATTAGGTTTCATGTTTTATTTATTTATTTTGAACATTTTAAATTGTGAGAGAACCTTATCTAAAGTTTTATTATATTTTAGGCATGTGTGTGTGTGTTGGTTGAAATGTGATGGACATAATGGCCTTTAATCTCATTCATTTCATTTGTGTCCGCTCACGTTAGGCCTATATGTTCTTTATTTAACGTCATTCCTATTAAAATCACTGTTAAAAATGATACACAGTAAACTTAAATGTTTACTTAAAAATTCTCAATTACTGACTTGCTAATCACTACCTCAGTTAATATTGGCTATAAATGCGACACAATAATGATGATAAATCTCCCACTCTAAAGTCAAGAGAAGAAAAGTTGCATAAATGGACCACAACACTGTGTTAAAGTACCGACATCCACGCTTTCACTATTTCCAAATGAGGCTGAGACAGAAACAGGTAAATATTGGGTTGTTGCATAATTCATTCTGAGCGTTTCGCTCTCAATCAGGGTAAAACTTAGTTGTAGCATCTCGTGATCCTTAAAACTGTCAGGCGAAGTCCTCATGAGAAGGAATGCAGTAATTTGGTTTCTCTCATTTTCTGATGCATGTGAGAGGGACACTCATTTAACCGTGCTGCCTTCCTCCCACTACAGTATTATACAGGGGGCACGGCTGGACCTTATTCTCGCTCTATATCTCTATCACTGTAAAATAATGAAACAGTTAAAAACACTTTCAACTTTAAATCTATTTAGTTATAAACCAAACTCCATTTAAGAAACTGTTTGGCGATAGTGGGTGATGTGCGTATTCTCTGAGTGCTTTGTTGTCATTAGCCCTACCTTCTGTTTGGCTCTGCTGCCTTATTATTCTCCAGTCAGCTTCTTAAAAATATATAATAGTTGTTCACCTATGGCACATCTATTACTGATGCAAACAGGAAAGACAGAGATACAAGGACAAAAACATCAAAGGAGACAATGTGACAAGTCTGGGCAGTTGATTTGACCTCTGTATATACCTAATTGTGTACAATGATCAACTGTTGGGCTGCAGACCCGATTTGGCCCGCTGAACTGTCCAATCCAGCCCAGGACTGGATTCCAAAATAAACATAAAAAAATAATGTTAAACAAAAATGTGATTTTTATTCAATTTTTATTGTTTTAGTGTCCGGCCCCCAAAGTGTCTGTCTAGAATAATCCTGGCCCTCCAACAAATAATTATAAAATATATTATATATATAAAAATACAACACTGATGAAGATAATGATGTTGTAGAATTGGGTGTTTTTAGCACAACCTTTGACTTAATGATGTAAATAATCCTCCTGTGAGTATTCTTTGGTGTAAAATTATTATCACCCAGGTTTGGCTGTTTGGCTTCTTTCTTATTTAGCAAAAGAAGATTTTATTTTAAAATGTATTTGTTCAATAACCTTCTTTGAAGTCTCCATTGGCCCTTCAAAGAACTCAGTTCTATCAGTCACTGTTTGTTTTCAGGGGGCTTATTTTTAACGTTGTGGACTTTTAACCTTGTACCGACTGCCATCGATTTAAAGATATATATAGGCCAATGTCAGATAAAAGCGAAACCATGAAGATGAATTGTATCTTAAATAATCCACACATGTTATACTTAGAGGGTGCAGTAATCAGACTGAGACCAGTGCAAAGAACCTGTAATGAGATAGAAACATGTTCTTTGTGCTGTGTTTTATTCACAAATTGTGGGTTATCTTTAAACAAACCGGTTCAGCGACTGACCCCGAGCTTCTGTATTTGTATGCTGCTGTGTATTGTGTAAACAGGTATGAATCATATACTGTGTAAACGTATGAAGGGCTGTGTTAGCTAATACACTGTAGGAATAAATGAATGGTGAGTTATTTTATTGGGAATATAAACCTGATAAAATAACACTTTTGAGTTTCAATTAACATGATTAAAATGGTAATATTCCTCTGGATTGATTTACAAAGATACAGGACGTGGTTGCAGTGCATGTTCAGCTCCTTCATGTAACTCTCACTTCTCAGGCGCCCATCAAAATCACGAGACCGCGCAAAAATCTCTAGTAATTTAGGCCGTGACTTTACTGATTTGGACTTGACAGACGTGGAAAGTATAACCCATGACTTCCAACCTGTTGTACTGTGCTTCCAATTACAAAAGCGCACCAGTTCCGGCTGCTCCATAATCAGATGACCCAAATTAGTACTCTAAAAGCTTTCAGCTGATAACAGTGGCGTCGGCACTAAATAGTCATATCTGTGTTTAATTTTTATTCATATGACAGTTTTGTGCCTGTCTTTAATTGCAATAAAATTTGATTTGATAGGAAATTTGATAGGAAAGGGGACTGGATCTTGATACCATCTTAGGAATGTCGTAAGAATGCTAGGTTTCTCTGAATGTTGTACACATTTATATATGCACTATAACCAGATATATTTTCTGCGATAGTCTAATGCCAAAAAAGGGTGAGCAACAAACAGTTTGGAACAGCTGCGCCTTGTTCTGCTTTTTTGTTTACATTTTTTTCCGTTCGAGTTCGACGATAAAAAACCCAGTCCTCTTCTGAATGCCTGTTGTCAAAGGTGTGATAACGGTTTGAGAGGATGATCTTTCTTGCCCTTGAGATGATAAGAGCAGCTCTGATTCATTCACTCTGACCATGTGAACAGTGCATGATCAGGGGCAGGGATATTATGACGTAAAAGACACAGTTAACCAATGGCAGTGAGCGTTTGGCAGCCTATGATTATACAGTAAATACTATGAGCTCTGCCTCCTGTGCTTTCACTGCAGCCTGCGATGAAATCAGAAGAAAAAAAAATCAACCCAGCGTTTTGGCTATAAAAGTGTTTGTTTGTGCTAAGGTAATCTTTTGACGAAGACTAGCCAACCGAAGCTGTCGAACTCTCTAGAAAAACATCAGTCGTCAGAGGTGGTTTGCGGGCCCACTGCACTCATTTACTGGAGACTCGCCCCACACTGCTGCTTCATCATCGACCTCGTTTCCTCGTCGACGTTCGCATCCTCGCGACTGCAATAATTACTGGAACGGGGGAGAGAAAAGACGTGACGGGACACAGGCCGGTGTTTGTCCCTCTGCCCCGGCCCTGAGGTGCGCTGCTCAGGCAAAGAATGCTAAAGAATGAGCCAAAGGGACACACTGGTTAATTTGTTCGCTGGAGGGTGAGTAAAGTCAAACAACGGACGTTATATGTGTATTGGTTCTGAACGTTTTCAACCACACGTTGCCATCCTAAACAGTTTCTGAGTGGTTGAAATGCAAAAATGGTAATTAAGAACGTTTTTAAACCCGGCGCGTGCACTCAAACCAGCGCGTGCACGCCGTGTTAACAGGCGACATTTCCTGTTGACGCTTCAGAATAAGACATGTAGTAATACAATTGTTCAAGTTAAATGATGTTATGCAGGCTCAACTATAACAAATAACTTAACGTTTAATTATAACTCTGATTATAGATAATAAACAATGACATTCTCACTAAAATTGCATATCAGTTCATTTTTTTGACTGTTAACTTGAAGTTAACTTCATTTCCGGGTTCGTTGTTGTGGTCGCACGGTAACTTGATATATGTCGTCATGCAGCTTCCTTTATGCTAAGTAGAATGAAGAGAAAGTCAGTTATACAACATATTTGAACAAATCGATTCGTACGCGTTATTAAAAATTAAAGGTCTCAATATCAAAAACTGCTTGCATCGGCAAAACATAATATATATATAACAAAACAAATGTGAACATTTTCAGAGGAAGAAAAAAGATAAAAAGCTGAGAGAAACCAAAGAAAAGGAGAATCACAGTGAATTTTATTAGAATAAATGGATCCAATCACTGGACATTGGGGAGTAGTAATAATATGGATAATATACCAAGGGAATAATCCAGAGACAACAACATACTTTTTGCTCCATGCTGAGTTTTGCCTGTAAATGATAGTTTTTCTGGTTATTTTTAAACACATTTCCTGTACTTTCTAGTTGGGTCTAAAAAAATCAGCCAGTACTTGATTCCAAAAATGGTAATTTAAGTCTGTTGGTTGCATAACTTTCCAAACTTTAAAGAAACTCTATAAAGAAAGGTATTGTTTACTTTTAATTTAAAACCCCCCACAAGCAACAATGAGTTCATTTAAGACATGCTTATTAGTCACTGCTAACTGTAAACAATGTCACCAGCTGTTAAATAACTGCTGACCCAGATATGAGAACTATTTTATTGACACAGCTGACCCCTCTGACTTACAGTATGCTTCGTTTTATCATCACTTCCAAACCACTGACAATCAAATATGGCAATCCCTGCATTTTTACATGGAGTAAAAATCAAAAACCCTAACCTAAATAAGGGGAATTAGACGTGCCTACTCAAATATCATAGCTGGCGGTCTTCATCCCCACTGTTACTCTGCAGCAGCTTTCAGTGTAGCCCTGAAAGTAGGACATAGGTCACCACTGCTGCTGGTGAAGTAGTAGCTGTTGCTGCTCTAAAGAGAGCACAGCTTAAAGAAGTTCCTGTTAACTGCCGGGTGTCCTACACCTCATAAACGCCAAAACTAGATCATACCTAAACAGACATATAGAGCGTTTATAAACTGATGTGGTTCATTGACGTAGCAGTTTCCAGCTTTGTGGGTTATTCGCTAAAATCTTTCCTGTCCAATCGTAACAAGCTGTAATCTGTAATCTGAGTTACAGCCAGAAGAGAGCACAAGTTGTGCGTTTTTATCGCTATCTTTTTATCAGATAGCGAAGACAAGAGAGAGACAACGACGGTTTGTTTACATGTGGCTTGTGCCGCCTGTTGAAGTAGAGGTAAAGGTCAAAGCAAGATGACCGCAGGGTTCTTTTACTTTTATTTTGATGCAGTCAGTTTATGTGTTGTTTACGTGTTGTTCTAATTTTATGGCCTTCGTTAAAGGAACTCGTATTTTTAATAGAAAACTCTTAAGTTTAAAGAGACAACTGCAAAAGCCTTGACTTAATTGCGTTGCTAGCGCATGTGTTCTCGAGGCTTACTAAACAATGGTTCATATTCTCACCGTCCTGTTGTCAAATAACAAAAGGTCAGTCAAAGTTGTGATGTATTGCAGCCACCACTGAGAGTTCGTGCAGCACTGAAACCTGATGCTGCCCAGGTGAGACCATACCTCACCCGCTGCTCTAAGACAACACTGATGTCACGGTGTTTGCCTGTGTGCTGTTCCTAGGTCTTTTAAAAATTAAAGGAAAAACAGATAGTGTTACCGCTGCTTCAACACAGCAGTAGTAAACAGGGGCTTTATGAAGAGAGCTGGCAGAACAAACTGGACTAAAAATAAAGTTGTCCATGGACCAAATGTGTTACTTTGTGAAAGTGTCCCTGGGTCGTATGAACACATAATCCATCCCTTTACTCTGCTGGTCCTGATAAGCTAAATGTAGAGCGTGTGTACACTTTTGTCTCAACCCTCTTCCCGTTCCCGTTGCAGATGTGGAGGAACAGTTGGTGCCATTTTAACTTGTCCTCTGGAAGTTGTGAAAACCCGACTGCAGTCGTCCTCCATCACTCTCTACATCTCCCAAGTCCAGCTGTCCACCGTCAATGGAGCCAGTGTGGCCCGTGTTGTTCCACCAGGGCCTCTGCACTGTCTCAAGTAAGACACACCGCACCGCATATTAATTGTACAATTCTGTTAATTGAAACACCAAACGGGATTCCAAAATCAAAAATCAAATAATAATGTTGTCCAATGTCCTCATGATAATAACTCATGTAAAATAAAATAAATTAAGTAATTTCTTTTTTTCTTATTCTTTTTTTGTGTATCTCTGAACACATGGTGTCAATAATTCAGGTTTTGTTCCCTGTTCTTCTGCAGTGCCATATGGCATTAATATTCATATTAAACATAGTGGAAAATTACCATGGGAACAAGACACGAGGAAGTAGGAAACTCTGTCCTCCAGAAGTTTATTTTTGTACCTTCCAACACTCAGTGGACAAATGGTTCGTTGTTGTTAAACGTTGGAAACAGAGAGATGCAGGGTGTAGGTAAATATCCAGCGCAGATGTTCTTATGAATTTGGAATCCAGGTTTTGTTCTGTTTTGTTTTACATATGGCATTCATATTCATACTAAACAAAGTGGAAAATTAGCAGAGGACAAGATGTGAGGAAGAAGGATCGGCTGTCTATTGGCAGTTTATTTTTGTACGGTCTTTAAATCAGTGAACGACCGGTTTGTTGTTGTAAATGTTGGCCACAGAGAGGTGCAGGGTCTAGGTGAAGATCCAGTGTAGATGTTTTTATCTCTTGTCTTGGCATGACTGACAGAACTGTGTCACACAGCGCTCTGAGCCAACAGCTGCTGTATGGGTAGTTTTCCACTGCACAATGCTTGCGTTAGACATTTTTTGCAATGTCGGCATTTTTTGCAAGTCTTCAGTCTTTAGTCCAAATCGCAATTGTAGAAAATTTACAGGTGTCATTATAACCAAATCATGATGCATTTTCTTAGAAAAAACAGTTTTTTGGATTTTCTTTTTTTAAGGACAGGTATTTCAATAAGGATTATCTTAAATTAAATAATAATCTTTGCCTCAACATAAGCCATTTTTGAATATCCTTGGAACAAGTGCAGAAACCGTACAGTGCTGTAGCCTTATAAAAACCTGGGGGCAGTGTTGGAGGGTTAAAATTCGGAGGAAAAGCCACAAGTTGGGCATTGAGGTTTAGACCTACTTCCCATTTTTGGAACTGAGTATCTAGAGTTGTAATCTGAGTTTTGTAACAGGGGACAATGCTGTCTTTCTAAGATCTGTTTGCTAACCCAAATATGCACCAGAAATATTTCTTCATGCCCCCAAAAACTAAAAACTACACGCTAAAGTAAGAGCAGCGACATAGCTGAGAAGACTGATGCCTCTCAGGCTCTTGAGTTCTGTGGGACTTTCTTTATCGTAGTATGTCAACATAAACCAGATTCTGACTAAGGTTGACTTGGTTCAGTGCTGACTAAAGACAGGGAACAAACACCAAAAATGAAAAATAATCAAGATGTCGTCACGATGCTAACTATAAATACCAGCAGTATTTCATACTCTAGGGCTCCTCCTGTGTGATAATGATGACCCAGTGTTAATATTAGGCTGTGCTCTGTGTTGCGTTTGGATGATAGTCAAAGAATTTCTATTTCATGGCTCTGCTCCATGGCTTTTCAGTCTCATCAGATTTAAATTTAGCCACAAATGGATGTGCCAAACCGAATGTTGTGTGACCTCTGCCCTGGATAAAGTGTCTGGCTTCTTCCTATACTAACTCGCACTGTGAGGTTTTATTTTTTCAATAATGAGGTTATTAAACATTCAAACAGTAAAATATTTTACGCCAAATGCAAGATAAAGAAAATCTGTTTGCATTTGTCCTTTCAGGTTAATCTTGCAGCGAGAAGGAGCTCGATCACTGTTCAGAGGACTGGGACCTACACTTGTAGGTGTGGCACCTTCCAGGTATGTAACAGGTTTTTTTGTGTACTGAACCAAGTTAGATGTGGTAAAAAATTCACTTCTGCAATATTTATCAGAAACAGGCGGATGTTCATTCTCTGAAAAGAAACAATTCAGTGGAAGTTACCGATGCAAATCCCATCGGAAATGAGCAGATTTGTTCCTTCTTAGCTGTAGCTGCATGTGGTTGCATAACAGCCTGGAGGTTTAGTCTGAATGAATCGGCAGCAGCAGCAGGATCAGACAGCTGTGTTCCTCCCATCCTCTGACTGTTGTTGTCTCCCATCACAAAGGATACCTTTATATTTGTTTTCATTTTAGTTCTTGCTCCCTCAGTGGTCTGATTCCCCACAGTGACTGAGACATGACTTTTTCAGCACCTCCCTGTTGGTTTAACCCATGGTTCATGTTCATATAATACAGTAAGATTTAAAATATTATAGTTAGATTTGTATGATGAAAGTTGCAACAGAAACAGTTTACTACTGACTAAGGTCACAAATCAGATTATTATTATATATTTTGAAGCTTTTTGGCCGCATTTTATGATTTCATCTTGCATCTCCTTATGTTATCATTTGTACATTTATCAATTTTGACTTTAATCCCAGAAAGAAGTCCCAGAGCAAACAAACAGCTGGCTGGACATTTCTTCATCTGTTCATCAAAGTCATAGAAAATAGAAATTCAAATCCCAGATAACCTCAGTGGTTAATCACACTGACCATGTCCAGCAGACCACCAACGTTCACAGACAAAGACTGTTTTTTTTTCAGCCTAATGTTTAAACAAGCACATTCAACAGGATAGCAGAACATTGTTTCTTTCTATTAGAGTGGAATGCGTTGTCAGTTTAATGGTTTCCTCTGAGGTTAGTCTCACGTGCACCTCTCTCGGCCTTAATGGAGTTCTTACTTCTTAATTATTAACCTCTCTCTCCTCCTTGGCCACAGAGCGATCTACTTCGCCGCCTATTCCACAGCCAAAGAGAAGCTGAATGGAGTGTTGGCGCCAGACTCGACCCAGGTGCACATGCTGTCAGCTGGGATGGCAGGTAATGACGGCGCCCTCTACCCTGTCTTCTAGACTGTCCCTCAGATCTTTTTACCTTTTAGGTCATTTTTAGGTTTTATTTAGAAACCAATAATTCAGAGAACTCTACACTACATCTTCACGAGATGACTTTTAGTTTTACCTTTGCATCTTTTAAGATGTTCAATTAGCCCAATAGTTTATTTTACCATTGCTCTTACACTTTTCATATATATTAAATGACTGATCGGATTGTCACAATTGTAAGGCTTGAGACTAAAGCATGCAAAGCTAACCACTAATATATGTCATGACTGGCATAAAGTGTCTTCTCCATGTAAATGAATTATATTTAGAGTGGTGGTTACACTACAGGGCTGAACAGAAAGCACAATTAAAAACTCTCGGGACCGAAATGGGAAGCTGTGTATTTTTAAAAACGCCCTTGAATTGTTAATGTGAAAAGAAACGGCAGGATGTTAATTGCGTACCGCTGATGACTTAACTGGCCATTATAACAAGCAGGCACACGTTCACCTGGTGCATCACACCACTTACTCTGAAGAGCTGTCTTTAAAACGTCCTCTAAGTACATCCTTACAGCGCCCAGCCATAACTCAGGACCTGCAGCCAGGCAGTTCTATGAAATGATAAAACTAGGATTCAAAAATAAAGACGCAGTCCTCAAAGTTTTGGTTGTGCTTTCGTCTTCTCCAGGCCCTGTTCTCCACTGTGTTTGCCATTAATTTTTTTTTTACCCTCCCTCCCCCTTCTTTTTTCCTCTTATTATTTCATTTTGAGGCCTCTCTGGAGGACTCTGTAAATGGTTTAACATCCCAGTTGTTACTTGAACAGTGTGGTCTAGGCCCTATTTCTTTGCTCTGTGTGTATAGAGGAGAGAGCACTGTCCCCAAAGGTCAACCGGGGCCCCTGGCGCTCGGGCGGACACGTCAGGTAGCACCCTGTTTCTTTCCACTGGTAAACCACAGTGATTTTTCTTAAACTATTGAAGAAAGACTTGATGACTTGGTAATGCTAATAACATTATTATGGCAGTGTTTTTTACTGCTTATTTAAGGTTTAGGTTGTAATATTTTTATTTTTTTCTTGACACACACCTGACGATTTTGTTGTCGTTTAACATCTTTAACAGGTAAAAAGTTGAGTTAATTTAATCTGCTTTAAAAGAAATGCTAACCTTGTCTTTACTGTGCAGGCAATGATGACGTTTGTTGTCATCATTCATAACTCCGTCGTTCTTTTCATGCAAACTCTTGTGTGCTGTTTGGTGCTATACAAAGGTTTCGATGTTTGTCATGTTCTGGACTCATTTCAAGCTTGTGAGACTGGAGTCTTATTTTGAAAACCTCAGTAGCTACTTTTCACCTAATGAATTCCAGCTTGACTTCATGACATCATGTCTTCTCCACTCACTTATCTGAATGTGATTGAATGTGAATCAGTCACTTCCAGAGAAGTTTCCCAGACATTCCATTCTATTCCTTTCCATTAAAGATCACCACACGTAGTAACATCGCTGCCGAGGTTTGGTTCTGGCTGCACGTGTGCGGTAACTTCTTTAGAATTTATCAAAGCTTTTAGGCAGAGATGAAACATTTGTGATTTTATTTATTTTTTGCTAATTCTGATTTCCGATTTGTTTGGTAAGGGTGACTTAATACACCGATACAAAATATTATTCATAAATCAAGTAATTAGGAAGCATTAGCCACCCGTTCATTAGCTACCTGTTTTCCCTAATATCAAATATACGTGGATCTTCAGAGAAGAGAAGAGAAGATTTCTTCCACGATGTTTGAGAATATCATTAAGAACCAGACTCGGCTGCATACATTGTTTTCCATCACTGTTTCATTTCATTTTCGTTTCACTTCATCATTACATCATCATAATGCTCTCTACAAACATTTCATCACCGCCCTGCTTAAAATAGAACCCACACTCCACAACGACAAGGTTAGCATTTCCACCTGCCTCCTAATGTCCACCCTACTTTGTTTAGGCACCTCATCTTGCTCTGATAGGTAGAGTATAAATTAATATTACTTTACTGGTAGTGACTAATTATGAAATGATCATTTCAAAATATATACTACATATATTCTCAGTTTTATTTTCTGCCTTTCCAACTGTTTTAAGGATTGCCTCCCATCGTTTTTTTATTTTTATTTAAACAAAATGAACTATTCAATTGGTAAGACAAGTAAAGGGAAGCAGCTAGTTTTTGACATTTTGAAAATACACTACTGTGCAAACCTTCAAGGCAGCTTTGAGTAATGCTGTTAAGACATTTAGACAGTTAAAACAAATATTAGTTTGTTATTAGTTGTTATGTCCATCTTTGAATACCATTGTTGGCAAATGAGAGATTTTCTGAGGGTTATAGTCAGATGCTTGATCAACCAATCCTGTAAAGTGGATGCTAATTATCATCGTTTCTATAAGCAACTGCAACATTACTGTACAAATGGTTGGGTGGAGGTTTAAACCTGGGTGAAGAGCAGCCAATCACTGTTGCCCAGCAGAGGGCGTTAAAGACGCGGTTCACAAGACTCGTGATGCATGGAATTGCACTTTTAATGACAATCAAATGAACAGGAAACGTGAAGGACGTCACAGGTGGTTGCCTGTGATAATATCATGGCAGAAACCAGTGATGCCATTGAGCCAATCAGAATCCACAGAATTCTGTGCTAGGTCAGTTTATAAGACGTTTATAGGTATTTGATCACACCTGCCTTACATTTTGCACAGTATTGTATAATTTAAAAAAAAAGCATTCCTGGGTGAGTGGGTGGTGTTAATATGGGGTTAGAGAATGGAGAAAGATGGGGGCAGGGTTGACCCTTCACCTCCAGTCTCTTCTCCATCAACTACTACAGCATCAGTGGGGTTGTGCTAGCTGTTGGGAGTTGGGGTTTGGTGGGTGGATGTGACTGCTGCTTGTGTGTGACTGTGGTACAGAAAAGCCTGTGTCTATTTTAGGGCTTTACTGTAAAGCTTTCACCCCTACGTGATTGGGTGGGAGATCCCCGCCAACTGAGCCCCCCATATCTGCAGGCTACTAGCTGCAGCGGGGAGGAGCTGGAGGAGCTTTGCCCCTCCCTCGTGAGTACACTCCATAGACGCTACTTCCTTCTACTTCCCTCCTTTTTCCTCTCTCTTTTTTTCGTTCTCTTCTTCTCTTCAACAGATGTGTGTCGTCCTCTCTTCTTCACGCAGTCGCCTTAGCGTAGGGTTCTGCAGCGCTCGTAGACTCTTAGAAGCATTCAGGCTTTATATATAGACCTGTGCGCCCCTGTGTTATCTGTCTCCTGCAGGTAGCCCTGTATGGTTTTTTTTTCTGTCATGCAACATTTACATCCAAAAGACTAATTTGTAGAGAAAGGCTAAATATTGTTTTCAGCTACTCAACAATCTTTATTTATAGGGATTGCTAACCCTCACTACGTAACAAAAAAAGCATTTTTTGATCAGAGAGACCTGTGTTACAAGTCCAAAAAATGCAAAAAAAAAACAAAAAAACGGCATTACAGGCTTCACTAAATCCCATTAACTTTGCACTTGAGTCCCAGTGAATAACTGAAGAATCTCACCGTCCTGTTTCTGTAAAAGCCCGTTCTCACCAGTTTAGTAGAACACAGTAAGTTGTGATTATGAGATGGAAAGTAAAATAAACCACCAGATGCTTAGATAAGTATTAACTATTACTATAGGTGTACATGTGTTGTTTTAGGTTTATTTGCAGATACTGGTCATTGGAAATAGCTTTTTATGCACCTCACAGTTTGTTGCCGTCACTCCAACATCTTGAGATTCCTTCTCATTGACTTAAGCTTTGGGGTCTCCTAATTCAGACTTCAACCTAGGGATGGCCCTAAGCTAATACCTTGGATCGGTATCGGTCCAATATTGGTCAATCTTTCAGATTTAAACATAAAACAAACATCTATAGCTCATCTGATCTGATACCCAAACCTAAGGAAGTTGCAGTATTAGACATGAAACAGTCATACACAACCATCCCTATTTTAATCTCATAATATGACTTACTGAGATGTTTTGTTTCTACACTGGCTATAATGGGCTTTGTCTCTCTGCTCTAGTACGAGCCAGTATCAAACCACCAGTTCAACATCAGTAGCATCAGTGCTACGGAAAACAAAACACAAAAGTCTTGATTTTAGCGGGTCAAAAGTGGACCCACTCCAAGGCCTAGTGCTGCTTAACCTGAACATTTGTGTTAAACTTGTTTTAGTGGATCTGCTTATAGAGCACGTAGATAATGACATTAAAAGGTAGGTTTTTTTAAAAAAAAAAAAATATATAATTCTATTTTTTATTGAACTAGTTAAATGAATAATTAGGCTAGATTGTTACAATGCCTAAAAAGGATATAAATTAAAAAGATTAAAGTGCTCACAGCTTAAATCTGTTTTTCCTCCACCTGCTTTTTAAAATTTAAAGATTTACATCAAGTGCAGAGCTGTTTTGTTTGGGGAACATTATGTGAAGTTTATTTTCTTGTTACTAAACCAATAATAAATAAATCATAACTGGAAATGCGTTGAACTAAAAGGAAAAAAAACAAACAAAAAAACATTGCTTGTGTTTCGTGAATAGCTTCCTCACTGTTCTTGCACAGTTGTAAGACTGTTAGGTGATTCTGTGATTTCCTGTGTGTCTTTTCCTCCGTCTGACCCTCTGACCTCTTCTCAGGTTTCACTGCCATCACAGCCACCAACCCCATCTGGCTGATTAAGACCCGTCTGCAGCTTGATGCCAGGTGCGAAGCCTTACATCTTCATGCCAAGTTAATGAAAGTAAATAATATCACTTCATTACTAACGCCTTATTGTGATTACAGGAACCGGGGTGAGCGGCAAATGAACGCGTTTGAGTGCGTGCGGCGGGTGTACCAGATGGACGGACTGCGAGGTTTTTACAGGGGGATGTCGGCGTCGTACGCCGGCATCTCGGAGACCGTTATACATTTTGTCATCTATGAGAGAATTAAACAAAAACTGCTGGATTTCAAAGCCCACGCCAGGATGGACGACGAGGACGAGTCATTCAGAGACGCATTCGACTTCTTGGGAATGATGCTCGCAGCGGCTACTTCCAAAACATGCGCCACATCCATAGCTTATCCTCATGGTATGTTGTTGTCACAGAAACATTTTTCCTCCTAGAGGAAAAGTTACCAAATTTTCTTGGCTGCACACTCCCTACTATAGCCCAACTGGGTCGAAGCAATCCTGATTCCCAATTGGGGGAAAAAAATCCCAAAAGACACAACAAGCTTTCTTATAAAGGCAGCGTTTGTAAATGTCAGCTTTTAGACTTTTCTATGCCATCTATTGGGCAAATGTGGGCATTGCAGGGGAAAGACAGAAATATGAAAAAACAGAAAATAGAAATTAATAACATAAGAATAAAAAAGCCAAACGGGCCACATCTGGCCCCTGTGCTGTAGTTTGCCCGTGCCTGCCCTAGTGGCAGCTCATGCAACCCCAGGTAGCTGGTCAGAGGTGTTTGAATATGACAACGGTATGACATGCTATTACAAAATCAATGTGGCTCTTTTGTTTGTTTACTGAAATGACCGAAGAGTCGACCGAAGGTCATGGGAAAAAGTGCACGTCGCACAGTTTGATCGGACTCCTTGTCAACATTTGATTAGAAGGTTAAAAGGATAAAAACTTAAACAAATATTTTGAAAATAGAACTTATTGGTCTGTCACAATAATTTCGGACTCTCCCTTTTCTGTAATCGGTGGACTCTTGTGTGACTTTACATGTGTTTCAATGCCACAACCAAACCTTCAGCAGAACACCACAGGACACCACAGCTGTGAATGAAGAGCAAACAGCATCAACAAAAGGCTCGACCAAAATCTGTGCGGTGCAGTTTTTAAATGTTGCCCTGTGAACACGATGACATAGCAGTGAGTCATTTTTAGTTACTGGAAAAACAGCACGGTCCAAAAACAGTAAAAATATCACCGCCATCCTGCAGCACTGCAGACACTGCCTTCTTTATTAAGGTGATTCTGTGTTGGAGCATTAAGGTCAGCTTCTCTAAAGGCCCATTTTGTTCAAAAATAGCAGGTTAAAAAAAGTTTACCAGCAGTTTTTTTGGAGGTTGTGCTTTTGTGTTTTTAACTTGGTGCTTTTATATATTTGCAGAAGTGATAAGAACAAGGCTACGGGAAGAGGGCAGCAAGTACCGCTCCTTCTTCCAAACTCTGCTCACAGTTCCCAGAGAGGAGGGATACAGGGCACTGTACCGTGGCCTGACCACGCACCTTGTCAGACAGATCCCCAACACCGCCATCATGATGTGCACCTACGAGTTTGTGGTCTATCTGCTCCGCTCTTAGCTGCGCGTTCTTCCTGTTCACGGAAGGATACGTTCAGCCAATGACTGAGGATGTTGCTGTTTGACATGTGATGTCAAAAAGTAAGACCAAAGGAAGTGAAGATGCTCTTGTGGAGCAGGAAAGGACAACTGGAAATCATAGACGTCAAGAAGAACAAAACAAACGGGAGCGATCCAGTGTCATCAACTCTTTTTTTTCCCCTTGTTTTAGGTTGGTTAGAAGAAAACAGATAGAGGGCAGTAAAGGTCACACAAGAGGTGTCATGGGAAGTGATGGAGAGAGAAGGCACTGTCAAAAAAAGTACAAAAAAAAAGAAAATAGCATCGTAAGCACATTTCAGTGGCCTTAACAGAAGGGTTTTGGCTTGCCTTCTCAGCTGTGGCTGAATCACAACAGGAACAAAGGTAACTCAACGTAGGTCAGGTGTAAATAATAAGCACATTTTTGCTTTTTTACCAAACTGTCCTCAACTCCGTGCTGTGTGACTACTGTCAGTTGAGATTGAATGTGAGAAAAGTGTCACTGTTTTCAAGGCGCACAAACCAAGGCCATATTTGAGTTGTCAAATCTCCCTCTTATCATGTCCTTCCTTGTGTCTTTTATCTCATTGAAGAGTGGTTCATAAAGTCGACCTTCTCTCAGTGTTTTTGATTCCTGTTCAGCTCGGTGCCCTGCGTTGACACAGTGAGGTGGAGGTGACCAAGGCCAGCTTCTTCACATGGGCACGTTTCTTTGTTTTTTTAATGTAAAACTGTGAAAGTTCAGATGTATTGTGTCCTGTCCCAGGATGTGAAGTGCGTGATAAAAGTTTGACTAAATTTTGGTATTGTTAGTGGACGAGCAGCATGAAGTTTGACTTCTTCCCTCCAGAGCTTCTGACCTGTAACTGCGGTTGTCCCTGCAGTGATTTGTGGAGCTGTCGTCCTCTAACAATGTCGTCGACAGAGCTTAAAATGTTACTTTATTTTGACGCGTAAACCACATCATTCATCACTTCACAGCGTACCAAGAGACCTAACGTGTCGAGGCTTTAGTCCGACATCCACCTACTAGAGCTGAGTAAATATCTCTGCCCAGAAACATCTGAATTGTAATTTAAAAAAAGCCAAGATATTAACAGCAGAGGGCAGCGTTACTGCATACTCCCCTGAAATGATATAACTGAAGTTGCTTTGAGTTTGTAGTTTTTGAAAATTCTTCCATCCTTTACCTTTAATTAACTAACAGTAGTGTCGCTACTTGAATACAATGTGACATAGAATGGGGAGATTCTTGGAGCAGGTGAATGTTCGTGAAGTTTCATCTGTGTGTGAGCCACCTCCACATGTCGGTGACTTCCTTCTTTACTGACTGCGTGTGTGTTAGTGTGTGTGAGTAGTGCAGCTGCAGTCGTGTGTGTGCCTCATGTATAATTCGTATCTACTCCAGATTCCCCCGCTCTTATTAATTTTGCAGGACACAGAGTGTGGAAAAGCCTGGCTGTGATAGGGTGAGCCTTCGTCCCCCTCTCTGGTGGCCGTCCTTTCTTCCAGTGGCTTCCGTCTGACCTGATAACATGCACTTCTCTGGCCTCTAGGGCTCGTGCTTAGCATTTTGTCGTGTTGACAATGTAAAGTTGTATATTTTAAAAAACAAAAAGTATTACTGTATATTAAAAAAAAATTGGTATTTTGCGCCACTGTTCTTACAACAGATATATTTTACAGTTTAGAGTTTGCCGTAGTTGTGAAGGGTTTCTCAATGTGTTTATATAACTTAGAAACTGTATATGCATATCACTTGTTTTTCAAGGCCCAAGTATGATGATGAGCTAGTTTGCATTAGCAAATTGTCTTCACTGTTGTGCAATTTAACCTTGTTTTGACATGGACATATTGATGTTGCTTGACTGATTTGGTTAATTTCTGCCCTGTATGTTGCTGTCGTGGAGCATTGATTAACTATTTTGCAGCATTTATTAAGTGTTCCATTATTTGGCAAGGTATGAATGTTTTCACTATTTGTGAAGTTTACATAGTTTTTCTTTTTTTTTTTCTTAGTTTCTGTTGTTGACGTTAAATCTCTTGGTGGAAGATTTTTCTGAGGTGAGATGTCAAGAGCTGAAATGTAACACGGCGATTAGTCAAGAAACTCATCTGTTACAAAACAGCCTCATTTATGAACGCAAATGTTTTTGTTGTGATATTGAAATGTTAATGTTGGCGTTAGAATCCAAAACAGATGCTACTCCTCGTCATTGATTGGCTGAGACATGTTCCACACAGGTCAAAAGTCGCCACATAATTCTTTCAGTCCTTTTGTACACCCAATCACAATATTAAATTAATGAAATGTACAGTTTTATGTAAAAATTACCCCCACTCTATAGTATCATTTCAGACGGAAACAGTGGTGCTGTAACTCATAAATGGTTATTGATTTCCTGTCTCCGCTGACATGTTTCCAGCCTTAAATTGATGTTGCTTAAAAAAAGAAAAAGAAAAATGCTGACTCATTTTAACGTCCAGGTTTCACTCTTTAACACTAATGGCTTTTACGCCCTTGACTGCGTTGCAGGAACACTTGGGGTCGACTAACCAAAATGTGACATGAGAAGTCAACTGGAAAAACAGTGCAAACGTTTTCATTTTGTGTTTTACTCCTTTCAGTTTTGACATCTGTGTACAATCTCTCTAGCCTACAGCAGGGTGTACTGTCCTGGTTGTTGTGTGTTTTGTTTGTTATCAAATACAAGAATAAATAAAAGCTCAAATACACAAATGAACATTATTTATGAACCCTTTGGAGTAACAAATCTGACAAAAAAGTAGGGGTTGCACTAACTTTCTGGAGATTCCAGGCGAAACATATGATGGAGCAACAGAGAGAAAAGCTCTACTGGTGCAAGATACTGTAGAAGAGGCAGGGAAGTACATCAAGGTGGTGTAGGACAGGTATAAGGCTGCGAGAAAGAGGAGAATGTGCAGGAAAATTCGCAGATCGGCGATCATCTGATTGCATTGCCCTAGTTTTACCAAAAGAGGGAGCCAAATAGCTCTAAAATAAGTTGAGGAGCACAAGGCTTAATTATGCCAGATGAAAAGATTTCAGTTCAATATAAATAAGTTGTGTTTTTGTGCCAAACCGCTCACAGTACAGTACAGACGTTTTCATGTCCATTTATCAGAAGGTAATAAATGCATTGATTTGTGTTAAAGTCTATAATGTGTGTGTGTGTAATTCCTGTAGGAGAAACAATCAATGAATGCGGTGAGATTGAAATTAGAATAATCTATCACCACACATGTCATGGTCTGAATAATTGACTTACATTAAACAAAAGGCTGTGAAACATCAGTTTGTATTGATTTGCTAGTGTGGTTATTGAGGTTGTTGAGCACAAACTGCTCAAGTTATAAGTGGATGCAAATCAATCAGCCCGGCTTCAACCAAATGTCCTGAGTTTCAGATTTTACAGCAGACTACGCCAATGACGATGATGATGATGATGATGATGATGATGATGATGATGATGATGATGATGATGATGATGATGATGATGATGATGATGATGATGATGATGATGATGATGATGATGATGATGATGATGATGATGATGATGATGATGATGATGATGAAAACTGCTGGATTTCAAAGCCCACGCCAGGATGGACGACGAGGACGAGTCATTCAGAGACGCATTCGACTTCTTGGGAATGATGCTCGCAGCGGCTACTTCCAAAACATGCGCCACATCCATAGCTTATCCTCATGGTATGTTGTTGTCACAGAAACATTTTTCCTCCTAGAGGAAAAGTTACCAAATTTTCTTGGCTGCACACTCCCTACTATAGCCCAACTGGGTCGAAGCAATCCTGATTCCCAATTGGGGGAAAAAAATCCCAAAAGACACAACAAGCTTTCTTATAAAGGCAGCGTTTGTAAATGTCAGCTTTTAGACTTTTCTATGCCATCTATTGGGCAAATGTGGGCATTGCAGGGGAAAGACAGAAATATGAAAAAACAGAAAATAGAAATTAATAACATAAGAATAAAAAAGCCAAACGGGCCACATCTGGCCCCTGTGCTGTAGTTTGCCCGTGCCTGCCCTAGTGGCAGCTCATGCAACCCCAGGTAGCTGGTCAGAGGTGTTTGAATATGACAACGGTATGACATGCTATTACAAAATCAATGTGGCTCTTTTGTTTGTTTACTGAAATGACCGAAGAGTCGACCGAAGGTCATGGGAAAAAGTGCACGTCGCACAGTTTGATCGGACTCCTTGTCAACATTTGATTAGAAGGTTAAAAGGATAAAAACTTAAACAAATATTTTGAAAATAGAACTTATTGGTCTGTCACAATAATTTCGGACTCTCCCTTTTCTGTAATCGGTGGACTCTTGTGTGACTTTACATGTGTTTCAATGCCACAACCAAACCTTCAGCAGAACACCACAGGACACCACAGCTGTGAATGAAGAGCAAACAGCATCAACAAAAGGCTCGACCAAAATCTGTGCGGTGCAGTTTTTAAATGTTGCCCTGTGAACACGATGACATAGCAGTGAGTCATTTTTAGTTACTGGAAAAACAGCACGGTCCAAAAACAGTAAAAATATCACCGCCATCCTGCAGCACTGCAGACACTGCCTTCTTTATTAAGGTGATTCTGTGTTGGAGCATTAAGGTCAGCTTCTCTAAAGGCCCATTTTGTTCAAAAATAGCAGGTTAAAAAAAGTTTACCAGCAGTTTTTTTGGAGGTTGTGCTTTTGTGTTTTTAACTTGGTGCTTTTATATATTTGCAGAAGTGATAAGAACAAGGCTACGGGAAGAGGGCAGCAAGTACCGCTCCTTCTTCCAAACTCTGCTCACAGTTCCCAGAGAGGAGGGATACAGGGCACTGTACCGTGGCCTGACCACGCACCTTGTCAGACAGATCCCCAACACCGCCATCATGATGTGCACCTACGAGTTTGTGGTCTATCTGCTCCGCTCTTAGCTGCGCGTTCTTCCTGTTCACGGAAGGATACGTTCAGCCAATGACTGAGGATGTTGCTGTTTGACATGTGATGTCAAAAAGTAAGACCAAAGGAAGTGAAGATGCTCTTGTGGAGCAGGAAAGGACAACTGGAAATCATAGACGTCAAGAAGAACAAAACAAACGGGAGCGATCCAGTGTCATCAACTCTTTTTTTTCCCCTTGTTTTAGGTTGGTTAGAAGAAAACAGATAGAGGGCAGTAAAGGTCACACAAGAGGTGTCATGGGAAGTGATGGAGAGAGAAGGCACTGTCAAAAAAAGTACAAAAAAAAAAAGAAAATAGCATCGTAAGCACATTTCAGTGGCCTTAACAGAAGGGTTTTGGCTTGCCTTCTCAGCTGTGGCTGAATCACAACAGGAACAAAGGTAACTCAACGTAGGTCAGGTGTAAATAATAAGCACATTTTTGCTTTTTTACCAAACTGTCCTCAACTCCGTGCTGTGTGACTACTGTCAGTTGAGATTGAATGTGAGAAAAGTGTCACTGTTTTCAAGGCGCACAAACCAAGGCCATATTTGAGTTGTCAAATCTCCCTCTTATCATGTCCTTCCTTGTGTCTTTTATCTCATTGAAGAGTGGTTCATAAAGTCGACCTTCTCTCAGTGTTTTTGATTCCTGTTCAGCTCGGTGCCCTGCGTTGACACAGTGAGGTGGAGGTGACCAAGGCCAGCTTCTTCACATGGGCACGTTTCTTTGTTTTTTTAATGTAAAACTGTGAAAGTTCAGATGTATTGTGTCCTGTCCCAGGATGTGAAGTGCGTGATAAAAGTTTGACTAAATTTTGGTATTGTTAGTGGACGAGCAGCATGAAGTTTGACTTCTTCCCTCCAGAGCTTCTGACCTGTAACTGCGGTTGTCCCTGCAGTGATTTGTGGAGCTGTCGTCCTCTAACAATGTCGTCGACAGAGCTTAAAATGTTACTTTATTTTGACGCGTAAACCACATCATTCATCACTTCACAGCGTACCAAGAGACCTAACGTGTCGAGGCTTTAGTCCGACATCCACCTACTAGAGCTGAGTAAATATCTCTGCCCAGAAACATCTGAATTGTAATTTAAAAAAAGCCAAGATATTAACAGCAGAGGGCAGCGTTACTGCATACTCCCCTGAAATGATATAACTGAAGTTGCTTTGAGTTTGTAGTTTTTGAAAATTCTTCCATCCTTTACCTTTAATTAACTAACAGTAGTGTCGCTACTTGAATACAATGTGACATAGAATGGGGAGATTCTTGGAGCAGGTGAATGTTCGTGAAGTTTCATCTGTGTGTGAGCCACCTCCACATGTCGGTGACTTCCTTCTTTACTGACTGCGTGTGTGTTAGTGTGTGTGAGTAGTGCAGCTGCAGTCGTGTGTGTGCCTCATGTATAATTCGTATCTACTCCAGATTCCCCCGCTCTTATTAATTTTGCAGGACACAGAGTGTGGAAAAGCCTGGCTGTGATAGGGTGAGCCTTCGTCCCCCTCTCTGGTGGCCGTCCTTTCTTCCAGTGGCTTCCGTCTGACCTGATAACATGCACTTCTCTGGCCTCTAGGGCTCGTGCTTAGCATTTTGTCGTGTTGACAATGTAAAGTTGTATATTTTAAAAAACAAAAAGTATTACTGTATATTAAAAAAAAATTGGTATTTTGCGCCACTGTTCTTACAACAGATATATTTTACAGTTTAGAGTTTGCCGTAGTTGTGAAGGGTTTCTCAATGTGTTTATATAACTTAGAAACTGTATATGCATATCACTTGTTTTTCAAGGCCCAAGTATGATGATGAGCTAGTTTGCATTAGCAAATTGTCTTCACTGTTGTGCAATTTAACCTTGTTTTGACATGGACATATTGATGTTGCTTGACTGATTTGGTTAATTTCTGCCCTGTATGTTGCTGTCGTGGAGCATTGATTAACTATTTTGCAGCATTTATTAAGTGTTCCATTATTTGGCAAGGTATGAATGTTTTCACTATTTGTGAAGTTTACATAGTTTTTCTTTTTTTTTTTCTTAGTTTCTGTTGTTGACGTTAAATCTCTTGGTGGAAGATTTTTCTGAGGTGAGATGTCAAGAGCTGAAATGTAACACGGCGATTAGTCAAGAAACTCATCTGTTACAAAACAGCCTCATTTATGAACGCAAATGTTTTTGTTGTGATATTGAAATGTTAATGTTGGCGTTAGAATCCAAAACAGATGCTACTCCTCGTCATTGATTGGCTGAGACATGTTCCACACAGGTCAAAAGTCGCCACATAATTCTTTCAGTCCTTTTGTACACCCAATCACAATATTAAATTAATGAAATGTACAGTTTTATGTAAAAATTACCCCCACTCTATAGTATCATTTCAGACGGAAACAGTGGTGCTGTAACTCATAAATGGTTATTGATTTCCTGTCTCCGCTGACATGTTTCCAGCCTTAAATTGATGTTGCTTAAAAAAAGAAAAAGAAAAATGCTGACTCATTTTAACGTCCAGGTTTCACTCTTTAACACTAATGGCTTTTACGCCCTTGACTGCGTTGCAGGAACACTTGGGGTCGACTAACCAAAATGTGACATGAGAAGTCAACTGGAAAAACAGTGCAAACGTTTTCATTTTGTGTTTTACTCCTTTCAGTTTTGACATCTGTGTACAATCTCTCTAGCCTACAGCAGGGTGTACTGTCCTGGTTGTTGTGTGTTTTGTTTGTTATCAAATACAAGAATAAATAAAAGCTCAAATACACAAATGAACATTATTTATGAACCCTTTGGAGTAACAAATCTGACAAAAAAGTAGGGGTTGCACTAACTTTCTGGAGATTCCAGGCGAAACATATGATGGAGCAACAGAGAGAAAAGCTCTACTGGTGCAAGATACTGTAGAAGAGGCAGGGAAGTACATCAAGGTGGTGTAGGACAGGTATAAGGCTGCGAGAAAGAGGAGAATGTGCAGGAAAATTCGCAGATCGGCGATCATCTGATTGCATTGCCCTAGTTTTACCAAAAGAGGGAGCCAAATAGCTCTAAAATAAGTTGAGGAGCACAAGGCTTAATTATGCCAGATGAAAAGATTTCAGTTCAATATAAATAAGTTGTGTTTTTGTGCCAAACCGCTCACAGTACAGTACAGACGTTTTCATGTCCATTTATCAGAAGGTAATAAATGCATTGATTTGTGTTAAAGTCTATAATGTGTGTGTGTGTAATTCCTGTAGGAGAAACAATCAATGAATGCGGTGAGATTGAAATTAGAATAATCTATCACCACACATGTCATGGTCTGAATAATTGACTTACATTAAACAAAAGGCTGTGAGACATCAGTTTGTATTGATTTGCTAGTGTGGTTATTGAGGTTGTTGAGCACAAACTGCTCAAGTTATAAGTGGATGCAAATCAATCAGCCCGGCTTCAACCAAATGTCCTGAGTTTCAGATTTTACAGCAGACTACGCCAATGACGATGATGATGATGATTCCTATTCTTCTCAACTCTTTTTATAAAGGAATCTTGTGGTTCTTTTGGAATTTGGAAAAATATAGTGTTGAAGAAATTATGTCTCGTTTGCTACCACGCATGTCAGTGCATAAAATAAATAATATATAATAATATTAACATTTCTAAACTGTAAAATTTTATGAAAAAAATAAAACAAACGAATAGCTTTCCTCCACATTATTAAATGTATAAAATGTACACTACATTTACAGTAGTGGTTATTTTATATATGAGAGCAAATCATTATCATTGCCATCATCAACAAAAACAGCAAATTATTTAATATTATGGACTTATTGTACTAAGGTATTACTAAGGTAAGAAAATGTTTTAAATACGACAATATACTGTATTACTTTGTGTCTTAGATAAGTCTTAAATACGGTGGGCTAATATAGCGCCCTCATGAAAGTCCTCAGTCCTAAGAAGACGTCCAAAGAAGGCCCATCCTGCAGTAATAAAAACATGCAGTATCAGACTTTCGGGGTAAGTGTAGACGCATAAAATATTCTGTAAAATTAGTAAATATAAAATGTCTTTAAATTCACAAGTAAATGTTTTATATTTGATATGTAATATAATTATAAATTCTACTATAGTGGTTTCTAATTCGAATTTTAACGTATCAGTATTAGTGGCGGTACTACATCTGCAAATTGAGATATATAGAGCTGCAGCATTTTTACGAGTGGCCTTGAATGCGCCACCAAGAATTCAGCCAATAGCCTGAGCGCATGACGCTGTGTTGTGGTAGAAGGGACCAATCCGCGGCGAAGTGCAGAGTAAACGGACACTAAGCGTCGGGTCCCTGGTGAACTGCAGATGTGGAGCTGCTGCTGCTTCTTCTCGTGCTCCATACAGCAACAAAGAAGCCGTCGCTATACGGCGGATACAGATGTTCCACCGCCGGAGTAACCAGGTCAGCGGCGGAGAAGAGAAGCCATTTCCCGGCGCCGTAAACCCTCAGAAAAACAAGTGTCGTTGAGTACCCAGAGGAGTTTGTGTTCGGTGAGTCTTTGTTTACATCTGATAAACATGGTCTTCGCGACTTCAGCACAGAGCAATGCTTGTATCGTACAAGTTTATTTATTTTTTAAAAGTGCTTTTTAATGGCTTACCGTTGGTTTTATTTGGGCGACTCGTTTTTCTGTGTTCACTTTTTCGTTTATTAGAATGTTTTACTGCGGTATTGAAGTTGACAAAGCTGAGGTGAGAAACCCCCAGGAAGACATTTGTGCAAATGAATGTGCACCAATGCGCTCGATGTGTGTCTGAGTGCTTTTACTTTACTTCAACCTCCTCTTTAAATCTGTGTGTATCGGTATGTGTACACGTGTATGTGCACTCGTTGACTGTACCTACCATACAGTATATAAAAAGCTCACTATAAAAGGACGTTTATTTTGAAAGACTGAATCAGTGCAAATCAAGGTTCAGGTGTGAGCATCTCTGGCTCAAACTGCCATAATGCAGAGTACCTGCTGCTTTATGGTGTTGTACACTTAACGTCAAAACTCTTATCGTGCACAATTTTAATAACTACACCAGGGGCTGCTTAACAAAACACAAACAATGCATCCGTCCATCCATCCATTTTCATCCGCTTATCCGTTACCGGGTCGCGGGGGCAGCAGTACCAACCCTCCAAACCTTCCTGCGGGTGGTGAGTCCACTGGAAGGTACCAACCTCCCTAACCGGGATTCGAACTTGCGCAGGAGGTGAACCCTGGGGTTCCACACCAATGACAGAGACATTGCCTCTGGGCCAAAGCGCCACACACAAACAATGTTTTACAGATTTATAACTTGCAGCAGCCAGTCTCCTCTGAGGCTTAGCTCCATTATTTATTACTGGACTATTTTATAAGTAATAATGAGTGTGTCACGAACACTGGATTGGGACTATGTGGCTTATATATTTAATATGGTCTGAAGCTGATGACAGGGTGGTTCTGTATGTGTCCCACTGACCCTAATGGACAAGGTATTGGTCTTCCAAGACAGAGATTGTGGGTTCAACTCCCATCTGTTGAACCTCTCTTTTAAGACATTGCATTGAGACTAGTCATATTTCTCACAGATTGTGAGCTCTTGGTGTAAATGTTGTCCTCTCTGGCTCTGCTAAACTTTTGGTGGTTTTAATTCTGATAGTACCCAGACCCCTTTGCCTGTCTTGGACAATCTGTCCATTAGTAAATGGTATTTTATACTTTTTTGAATCAAAAATAATTTTTGTTTGAAACATCCTTGAATTGTTCCCACAGATATTTGTCAGTAGGACTGTATCGCTGACTTTTGACTCATGGTAACTGTTTTTGGAAATTTGCCTTGGGAAGATTACCTTATGTTGGAGTGTATTTATCTATTATACATCATCCTGCACTTTTACCTCAGTAAAAGTACAGCGAATACATATGAAAACTCAAACTGGACAATGGAATCTGAGAAACTTAGATGGAAGGTATGAGGAAATGTTCAGCTCGGTCCCACAGCAGCTGTCCTCTATGGAGTGTAGTAAGGTGAAGTGGATTGCATTTCCTCACAGCTCCTTGTGAGTGATCTCTTCTCTTTGTGGCTTCGCCTTGACATTTACCTTGCCTAGATGGGTAAGGTGACAAGGACACGGAAAACGGAGAATGGAAACAGATCAGAGCAGATGGTAGGAGCAGGGAGGGGAACGAGAGGAGAGAAGATGAGGTAGAGATGGAGTTGAAAAGAAAGGGAAGTGTAGGGAGGTGTGGGGGGGGGGGTCAAGGAAGTAGGAAGTGTAGCAGGGAAGTAGACAGAATGAGTGCGACAAGACGAAAGGCTTTATCATTTGTTGCTACATTTTCATGTCTGAGAACTTGTGGGCGGAGCCTGCTGGTTGACATTTAACCTGTTGTAGTAGAATGGGTGTTTGGTTGGAGAGAGAAAGAGAAGGAGGAGGTGGTGGTGGTGGGGTTGTTGTCAGGGGGTCATTTATCTGTCTGCAGGATCTGACCAGCTGGGAACTATGGGAGTTTAGTTTGCTGCCCACTACCTTCCTCCCTCCTCGTCCCTCCTCCTCCCCACCTGTGTCTTCTACATCCTTTCATTCTCTGTCCCTACCTCGCATCCCCATTATCTCCTCGTTTCTCCTCATTTTCTAACTGCTTCCCCTGAGAGTTGATCGCGACCCACATGTTTCATGCTCGTAGCCTCATTGCTACCATCGCCATCTACTGGCTTTTTAAATAGTTTGTAGATGAATTAATTTCATTGGAGATAATCTTTTTCAAGTAACACTGTATGTTAGAAGGTCAACAGGAAACTGAGGATACTGAACAACAAGGCTAAGAACCAACTAAAAGAAGTGTATACATAGTGATGCTGTTACTGTCCTTGGAATCCTTTACAGCTTAAACACCAAATTTAGACTAATAAACAGGGTTTAGGGCTATTTATGGAGTAATTCGGTCTTTGTTTAATTTGAATGTATCCATTTGGCAGACCTGTTAGTGTGTGGTATTATTCAATACTTCAAAAAATGGGTCTCAACCCACAGGTAGATTACAGGATATTTTTTTGTTGTTCAATATATTAGAATCTTTGGGCTTTTAAATGTTGCTGTGTCACATGGACAACTTTATATACTGTGTTCACCAACATACAGTCCCAGTGATTTATTTTGATTTGATATTAGTTCTGCTCAGTCTTATATTTGCGCTTATTGAGAATTTACACACCAGTTAAAGGCAGGTTTCTTTCTTAATTATTTCTTAAATTGGGTCACAGAGATTTTGAAAAAGTAGGTCTCTGTAAAAGTCTGGCTCACGCTCAGCCAGGATGGTGTCTGCGTTGTGACCTCCAGTCGTCTGCAGCCCATGTGGTCTTTTTTCTATAGACTACGTCGGTTGCAGCTCACTGTAAACTGACACATCCATTTTGTACGTTTAGGTTTTTATCACCGCCTCCTGCTCCTATTGAATTTAAGAGCTGATCATTTCCTTTACTAACGTTTATATTTTTTTAATATAACCCATGTTCACCCAGTTAGTACCATCAGGTTTACACTGCCACGCAGGAAGTCTCCATTTTTGGTCTGGTTGAAGAATCTTTGCATTCTTGTCTCTCCTCTTTCAGGTGTTCATCCATCTCTCCTTCTCTCCTTCTCTCTCTCTTCTAATCTGCTATCCTTTTGTGGTATTTACTGTATTTCTGTCCCCTTTAAAGTATCCCTTCTCCCCTGTTAATTCTCCAGGGAGACTAATAAGCAACGTTATGAGTCACTATGAGCACAGAAGGATATTCTAAGCCAGATGACTTTTTTTTTAACCTAACCCTAACCCTAACCTAACCCCTAACCCTAAAGCTTCACAGCAGTGCCAGTGATGTCAGTACACCTGCACACCGGCCACTGTTCATCGATGATTTGTCACCTTCGTCAGAGGAACTCTCATTAACCGCATCTTTCAGTCACCAGGCGTCATCTGCATTTCTTCCTACTGCCATGTGCGTCACCACTATCATCCAGCAGTGAGAAATGAGGCGGCTGGTGATGAGACAAGACAGCGTTTTGTCATTTGCGCGAGCTGCTTTCCATCAGCCATCGTTATTTTTAATTACTCTTCTCCTCGGTCCCCGTTTACCTTTAACGCCGTGCCAGGGAGTGTCTTGGGAAGCCGGGCTTTAGCAGGAAGTTGGCTCGGATATTCAAATGTGTGAAGGCTGAGAAGTGATGACATCAAGGTGCAAAACACATCAGAGTTTAATGCTGTGTTTCTGCATTTAATTAAAGATCTATATGGTCTGCTGAATGTCTTATAGGCAGGAAGTTGTTTTCTATCAAATCCTATTAAAACTGGGCCGGTAATGTGGAACATTGAGCGCATTTTTTGGAACATCGTTGTGATTTTCAGTTTCTTTTGCAATAAAAACTTTTAAAATAATTTTGTTAAATGTCCTTAAATGATAATAAACTTGTCCCTGACTTGCTAGTATTTTAGAAAAGTAGGAATGGGGATTACTCCCAAGGGATTATTAAAGTTCTATCCATCCATCCATCATTAGTTGCGTGTAGTAGTTATACACCTTATTTTTCGTTAGTCAATTAGTTAAGAATCTACAGGACAGAGTAAATAATCGATTATTGACTGTTTTTGTCATCAATTATCTAATTGTTCATGAGACAATCACAAAGCGTCATACACCGCCCTTAGTTAATAGTTTCCTTTTAAAAATATTACTCACCAATTTGGCAATTAAATATGAGCAGCGACAAACTGCCGTGTCTCTAATGTCATCAATGCAGCTGTTAATTGGAAGTAATTAATAGCATAGGTAAGGATTACATGCAGCGTTCCTGCTTTGTAAATACAAACAAATGAAACATCGGCTCGGCTCTACTGTGTGTTTTATGCTAATTATCAGGCTTTAAAACGCTCTCCATCTGTCCAACATCCTTGGATGGTCATGTGAATGCATACGTCCTACCCTGGCAGATGGAGTGGGAATATTTTCTGTGCATCAGCCCCGTGAAGTCATCCATGGACTCCTGAGTACACAAAAATGTACACATTTCTGAGCAGAATATAGGGTTGTGGTCGGCTCATGCTGAGAGAGCAGCGACCCTTCACCAGGTGACAAAGACAGTTTGACTTTAGATCTATCGTGTTCGATGTTTGGCAGAGGAAAATCTTAGAGTTTGTCAGTGGCGTTAATGCTGCTGTGTTTCCATTTTTAAAACCCACGGACGTGATGGTTAGTCAGAACTCATTAACTGTACATATACCTACGTCACTGACCTACGCTAACACTGTGGCAACTTTTTAGGTGCCTCCATAGTGTAGCGGTTAGCTCCCCTGTCTCGGAAGTGTAGAGCAGATATTCCTGGGTTTGATTTCCAGAGGAACCATATACTTGGCGGCAACGTAACCCTGCAATGCCATTGGTCGAGGACGTCGTAAATCAACACCTGCTGTGTATGTACGTATGTGTACACCTGACATTCTTGTCTAAATTAGATCTGGTTAAATTGATACAATTTTACTCCTGATGATGTGTTTGTATGTCTTTTAAAGGGTCAGTTTAAGTCAGACTTACGCATTGGAACACATTGATTGATATGACACACAGCCCTGTGTTCCTGACCAGTAAACCGTGTCATTTCAGCTAATTTGGAACCACAGTTTTCTGTCCTGTCATCCACGTTATGGCTTGTTATTGTACTCAATCATCTCATTACTTGTCATGTCCTCTTTGTTTTTTTCCCCAGCCGCTCCAATACTAAGGTGGAACGTTTGCCAGGGCGCAGCCTTGTTCTCATTTACATATAAATGATGAAAGAGTCTGCGGTGTCATGTTCGCGCTCATCTCTCTTCCTGTGGTGATTCAGTGTCCTTGTTTTTTTTCCCCTGCTCCCATGTGTCTTTCTCGGTGAGTATGAGCATTTCCCCACCAATGATATGTGTCTTTTTTCATACCTTGTGTGTCAGTGCGGCGTCATCACCTGCCACTGCTGATATAATCACCTCTGAATCAGCCAGTCCACTCTTCTGTCTGCCTTTGAATTAGCTGGCATGACCGGTTAAAAAGAAAAATTGGACACCTCTTAAAATGAAAAAGCAGATATTCTCAATGTCAGAGTGAATGTCTTTTGACTTAAGGGCTGTGAGAGACAAGTTTGCTGCTGGTGTTTCTTTATAAGATCTTAGAGAAGTGTCTTTTTGAAGCTGCTTCCTCATTGGCTTTTTAGTTTATTTGCACACAAAGACAGAAATAAGCTGCTCTCTGAGGCTTGGATGCCACAAGTGATGTGCTAAGAGTTTTTTTTTTAATTATAAAATAAGAGTACTTTTCTGATACAGGATGTGCGTAATACTGTTATGGTGTGAGTCTGAGAAGGTTTGCAGTAATCCTGCCCTGGACTGCTACATTGCTAAGTTATTTGAATTGAAAAGCCTTTCAGATAAAATGATAAAAATAAAAAAACCTCATCTGCTCCGCTGTTTAATGGCTTCCAAATGTTGGTTTGTGATGCCAAAGTGGGTCATGGTGAAAAAGGTGTAAAATATCAAAGATGGTTTAATTTTTCACGTTTTCTAGAAATATAGTTTGCATTTGTACTGTGGTAGAGTGCTACAGGATATACAGAGTCATTGTAGGTCTGCATTATTGATAACCCTTAAGTCAGGAGAAGGATTCTCTCTCTGACTGCTCAGATGACTGCGTCCAAACACGTTCACGTGTCTTTAGTGCTGCGTTCATCAGCTTCTCCTTTAACTTCCCGCAGGTTGAACCACGTTGACCGTGAAATCAAACCAACCTAGCGGATCATCTGTGTCGAAGTTTGGTTAGTAGTAGCG